AAAATTATATTTAATTTTACAAATTCTATATGTTATATATTCTATAATTCTATATTGTTATTGTAAATTATATATTATATATAATATATTGTATATTATATATATTATATAGTGCATATTTATTTTATGAAACAAAATCTTTTGTATTTCAATTAAATAATTGTAATAAAAAGTTTACCTCCTCGATGGTATCTCTTAACGAAGGCACTTGCCGGGTGAGGAGGTTTGAGTACTCTAATGAACCTAAGAGCTATGCCGGCGGTAACATATGTATAACGTTTTCGAGTGAAGCAAGTTTGATTGTTCTGAAACCGATTAATGACGTTATATATTAGGGATACCGTCTTGATTATTAGGGAAACTTAAATTATTAGATTAATCAATAAAATACTTTAAGTAAGCATTTGATTGATTAAGACAAAAAATCTTGTGCTTTAAAGATAAAATAGCAACAAAAACGGGAGATGTACTTTATGTTAGTTATACTATTAATGTATCATATATTTATACTAATCAGATTTTCTTTAAACTTATTTGGTCAAACATATATTCATGGTAAATTGGGTTTAATCGCTCTCAAAGCGATCAAATTTGCTTCATTTGAAAACGCTAATAGTTACCGGTAGGGTCACCCATGCCGGACAGGTCGAAGGGGAAGAGTCAGACTAAGAGAGATACCGTAATTATTATATATTTGCTATATTAATATTTTTTTGAATAAAATAGAAGCAAAAGAGACAGTAATCGAGAAAATAGAGAAAGAGGGGCTCCGAAATATTTTCGTACTCTCCTCGGGGAAAAATTCATTTCTGAGAAACGGAAGTCTATTTTACTATAATTTTCCTATAGTTTTGTTCATAATATTTTATTTTTTAAAGAGTTTTGATCGCTTGGTATACTGTCAGGTTTTCGCAAAATGTCATACAAAAAATCGAGATATTTCTTGCAATATTGGTTGGAGCGTAAAAATTAAGAATAAAAGTTAAGAGTTTCTTTTATATCTTGTGGGATGCTACCTAAACTTCTAAATAAAAAGCCGGAAATGCGAAAAAATCTACTCCTCCCAATACTTAAATATATCTTTATACAATATACGAAAAATTGTGATTTCCGAAACGCGGAGATTTATTCTATTATAATTATTACATTTTCCTATGATTTTAACCGTGTTCTCTTGAATTTTAAGAAATTTTAATTATTAACAGCGTTAATTAATTTTTTCACATACACACACATATTTATAAAATTATTTAAATATTAACTCTAGTTTTTTCAAAATCAAATATAAATTAGAATTATACACACATACTTAATATCTGTCGAATGCGCGGCTCAGCTATGACAGCCTTTTATTGATATAAAATAATACATAGCGCAGTGTCGAGATAATTAGCATCGCGGAAAAGAAGCAACAATGCGAGTATCGATTTAATCTTTTTTAAGAGTGCATTCAAATTTATAAAATTTACTCGTTGCGCGTGAATTTCGTAATTATAATGATTATATTGATTATATATTACAATTGAAATTAACCAATTATCTCACCACAGTATGTCGTACATTCCACAAATATGTTCTACCAGCAAAACGTACATAGTATCGGCAGCCACTGCGATCGAGACGCATGCAATGTAACCGATATACGTGTTTAGCAAAAGCACGTAATAGTACTTGTCTTGATCATATTACGAAGAATAATTTTTAAATTTACTTCTTTTAATTTCTTTAAAAGAAAAAATAAGGAAGCAATATTATTAAATTTTTTAATTACGATTATAAATTAAAACTTATTGACGCGTTAAAACGATCGTTTATTCGTAATTTTATTATTTTAGCATTTTTCTTTTATTTTTAGCTTCCATGTATCTATCAAGATACAGATTCTCGCTTACCAAAGAGAAAAATTCAACCGATATTTTTAACAATTCTTAACAATATTTTTTTAATCGGTATTCGTAGATGCGTTTAATTCGTACTTGAATACGCTAACGTGAACTTTCGAGCATTTTCAGCGTAACGCGTTAAGATCTGCGTTTCTTGGTTCGTCAGCATATCATGCCAATCCTCGCGCATCTGTCGTAGAAGCACCTTAAACTGAAGCGACGTTTATTCAAAAACGAATTCACGAGCTTAATGCAACTGTTGTACATACCTTTCCAGAATTAAGCTGATAATTTTCACAGCGCATATTACTGCGCCAGACGTAGTTGGCATAAGCTCGAACATATCATCTAGATCATCCGAATGTTTGAGCAAATATATAATCTGGTAATAAATAATGAATTTATGATATTGATTACATTTCATACATTTGAATACAATATATACTCTCTCTAGACGATTGTTTCTGTGACACAAAAAGATATGACTATTATTATATATTCTCTCACAATAAATTCATTTTTTTATATTTTTATATTTTTTTATATTTTTATTTATGATGAAATTTTCCATAATTCAAACTGTATTGCGAGTTGATGTTTTTTCAAGCATGCAATCATCTCACGATAATCTTCGGAATCATGCTCTTTTATTACTACGTATTTTATTTTCTCGCCTTCCACAAGTTTCGTCTTATCGAAAATATTTTCAACACGGATGCTTGGAAAAATGTAAAACTTATTATTGAAATCACAAACAATCTGCATCGAGATATTTTTTAAGCCGGAATAACTATATCTAATAACTTAAATGAAAATAAAATAATATATCTCTTACTTTACCTGACAGCGTTAAATAAACTACAACCGTGTAACACGCACACTATATACATGGTATCAACGTTTACCATACATCTAGTACTAATTATAGCTACAAGATAGCAATGCAACAAAATTGGATAGTAATATTTTTCTTTGTCTACTCCCCAATCTCCTTCAAGTACGTATATAGCTGGACGTGACTCATTCAACGGTATTATGATATCTAGAACTTTTGGCGTTAACGGTATTAACATAAACATTACTACAAATATATTAATGTACACTGCAAAGAGAAAATACATTGTTACAATAATATTCTATTATTTTTAATTATTTTTTATAATATAGAGAAATGTTCTTCCAAACTTGATATAACTTTGAGCACTAATTACTATAGATTCAAAGCAATCGACTATTAAATTTTTATCACTTTAGGCTGATAAGGCCAAATGCCCATCTGCGACAAGAAGAATTGATTTCTAGAGTAGTATCTTAGCATGTCCTCTTGCATATCATAAAACGTTTGTGAGACTGATCGTCCTCTTGTTAGATATTGGATTGAAGAAAAAAATGTAAAGCGAATGCAGTGACGGAAGGATATATATATATCATTACGATAATTTTGGGTTGTCAGAAAACGTTTGAAACGTTTACGCGCCGCGATAGGTGGATATTCAATCAATCTATAAGAAGGGTCGCTGTTCGCTATTAAATATTTATCTTTTGCGGCGAAAAACATTTCTAACATTTCCGTTTCCCGACAACTCAAAATTATTGTACAGATCTCCTTCAGTCGTATGAAAGGAAATTATAGATCACGAAATTATAAATTTTCTGTAGAATAAAGTGAAATATACTGCGTTTTTATATGTCGTTTTATTATTATCTTTCGTAAATAGTATAATGGATTTTCACTAATGATTCTTCTAAATATGATGATTTTGTAAAGATAAAAACATCATATGTATTATAGCGCTTCTATTTCATGCTAAGGATGCTAAGGTAGTAAAATACGACATGGCAGTTTGCATCACCTTAAAATTAAATATTGATTCTTTGCAGCGTTATATAATAGACATTGTAAAAGATATTTAAGCTACAGACGTACCGAACTGCACATAGTCAGTGACATAACAAACATCTTTCCAGCCGAGAGTGTACAAGGAACGAAACTTCTGTACAGAAGTATTTTTAATAATTTTTTGCTTTTTATGGAGAACGTATACCATCTTGAACTGTATCTAAAAGACAAAATATCTTTAAAAGACCTTCAATATGCCTTCCTGGCAACTATGCGAATCGTTTATAAGACGACAACTTTGGGTGAGATAACATCAAAAATAATATAAAACATTGAAAAATGGTGGTAATAATGCTTATCAAGTAAAACTATGCTTTGTGAGGACTGTACGCATGTATTGGAGATTGAAATTTTTACAGTAAAATCAAATAAATTTTTTCAGGAATAATTATTTATAATAAGGCTTCTTGAAATTTTATAACATTATTATTTCGTAGATTGTGATATGTAAATAATGAATCTGGACAATACGTTATAATTGCGATGTAATTCCGGCTCATTTGTTGATAAAGCTCTTTTACATGCTATATAGTTAAGTTAAGCATAGTTAAAGAGCTAATAGAATTATGATTCTTACGCCTTATCAAAGATATCCATGCTTCTATCTATTAGCAACTGTCCGGGAAAACACATGCATATGAAATGAGTAAACACACCCATAATTACACAAATGTATTTTATTACTTCTCCCATATGTCCTAATTTGTTGATAAGCTGCAACAATTACACCACGAAGAATATTAGTTATTCTAAACTTACCGGATGTCTTTCTAATTGCAGATTGATTGGTCAAATTAGAATTAATTCTTCCTTGATTAAAATAGGGGAAAGTCATCATTTATTGTAATTTTCTAATTTTTTGTATTATACATGTATCTTTGTAATTAAACTTTGAATTCTGTTAAAGTAAATTCTATTTTAAATGATAATTGAGAAATATCAATTTTGTTGTCCATTTGATTTCTCTTAAAATTTAGTTTGCAGAAAGCTTTTTTTTCAATAATCTATAACTAGAAAATTATTTATGTCTCGACATTTTCGGAAAAATCTATTTTAAATTGGTCAAGAAATTCTCCGTTGAAAGAAAATTGGGTGGCTTTGAACATCTTGTATAATGCTATGAAATACGTTTTTCAATGAAAGCATATTTATTTTTTAAATTCTTACTTGTATTCCAATTACGCTCATAATCAGCACATTAAGAAATAGTAGAACAAACGTTACGTACGTGAATGTAGAATCCAGTATCTGAACATATCTAAGAAATCAGGATAGAATAATTTAATATCAAAAATAGAATAAAATAGTTTTATCGATCAAGCGATTTTGTTAAGATCATTACTATCGTTAATCGATAATGACTATTATCATCGATGATAAAATTACGAACTCTAATGCGAGTTGATGTTTTCTCAAGCATATCATCAATTCACGATCATCATCATCTATAGAATCATATCTTTTTACGAATAAATGATAGTGCGTTCTTGCGCATATTTTTTCATTATCATCAGTCTTAACATTTGTCTGGCCCACAATATTTTCAAGACGGTGGCTTAGAAACAAAACGATAACTAAGTTAGGATAATCTGAATCGACAAATTCTCTATGTGTATTTCTGAGTGAAAAAGGAGTTTTAGGACAATAATAAATTTTTAAAATGGTTAGAGAAATAGATATCTCAAATTTATTTTCAATATTACTCACCCGATAGCCGCAAATAAACTGCAAGCATGTAACACGCATATTATATAAGTGGTATCGATAGATAACACGATCCCGACAGTGATCACATTCGACATATAAGCATGAAATAGAATCGGATAATAATATTTCTCTTTGTCCACTCTGTACTCTGCTTGAAATGCATATTTCAATGGCCGTGATTCATTCAATGGTATTACAATATCTAAAATTCTTGGAGTTAATGGAATAAGTGAATACAGCCCCAAAATTGCGCAATAATATGCTGTGAAAAAAGCATATATTGCTTATACTGCATTACATATCATATTTTTAAAAATAGTTTCTTTGTGTTATATTATAATTTTGTAAATTGGAATATGTAAAATGGAAGAACCTGATTTATTTTAATTTCAAATTCAACGAGAGAGATAAGAGAGAATATTTTGCATTTATATTATACTATGTGTAATGTTTAAGATTGCATTCAATTGACTATCATATAGTATTTGGCGTTCGTTTTGGTGTATAGCGTGTTACATGCACGACAGGATTCGCTACATATCGCGAAGGGACGTCGAATTCCGCGCCGCATACTATTGTGTTTTCGCGCTCGTCTTGTCAGTCGTTCAGTGAAACTCGAACGAGTAGGTATCGGTGCGATTTGTTCCATATGTCGTCTTATTACTTCTCGGTACGCGATCGCGACAAGTACTATGAGATGTTACACGCAATTATGTATTATGATTTTTACAATTAACAATCATCAACTTATGTGTAATAAATTAATGTCTAATAATTCATCGTTTATGCGAGTGAGTGTGACTGCCGTTAAAGAATCTCAAAGTATGAGACAGGAGAAAGCCCGAAGAGTCATCGAACGAACAATCACACGGAAAGTAGAATTAATTATATTAAAATTTAATTTTTTAAAAGAAGTTGTAAATAAGCTATTTGCGAATATATCAACTATTATCAAAGTTTTATGGATCTTATTCCCTTCTACGAGAGGTGTTAAGCTACTCGAAAATAAAGCTAATTTAAGCAATTTAGTTAGTTAAAGCAAATTTAATGTTATGTTAAGCTATTTTAAAACAATTACATATATCAACTCAGGTTTATTGATTCAATTACATTTCGAAAAATCGCAAAATTCAACTTTCGGCTGTTTTTTTATTAGATTACAAAATTATTATTATGTATCTTTATCATTATTTTATAAAATTTAATGTATGAATAATGATTGTGCGCAGATTGCTCAAAATGGACAAAATTCTTTCGAATAAAAAATGTTTTTTAATTACACTAAAAAAATTCGAAGTGTCAATCTTGCAATAATGTTGTGGATTTCTTTTTTAATTGTCATTTAAATATGTTATTTATTACCTGCATAATATTTCGTCATTTTTCGGCCGATATCAGTATAATATTTCAAAATATAACGTTCATATTTATTGTTAAAGACACTCCAATGATCATTCATGAGTCGTAGTAGACGTCAAAACTAATTGACAATAAGAAAAGATTAACAGCAAATATGCACATATTATTGATATCTATTTGAAAACTCACTTTATCATTATTTACAACGATATTAATCAATTTTGCGTTGGAACCAATAATAGGAATAATGATAATTACACTTTCGACAACTATATCTACATTACCCCAGGTGTCATGTAATAAAATTATCTATGAAATAAAGATATATCGATCAACAATGAAATAGATCAACGTAATAAATTATATATTTTTATTTCGAAAATAGATGTATATTATATATACAAAATAGATTATAAATAGAAAATAGATTATATATTTTTTAACTAATTTCATTTACCAATGCATCTGCATTACTATTTTCACGATAGTATGACACGTTACCTCAGTTATATATATTTATATATGTGTGTGTGTATATGTATATAATGTACAAAGTGTTCCATAATCATCGAATATTTTTTTGATAACAGATTCTCTGGCAGAATAACAAATTCTTTTCAATTTTTTTTTAGGAAAAATTTTGATGTATTAATTCGAGCTATAAATAATCGAAAAAGAACGATTTCTCGCAAACTAGATTTTGTAGATTCAAGAGATTAATAAAAGTACATTTTGCATTTAATTCCGAGTGAAATTTATTTTAAGAAAAGAATTTTAATTTAAGGCAGTTACAAAGACATAATAAAAAAATTGAAAATTTACAAAAAATGATGGTTTCCTCAGTATTTTTATTAAGGAGAAATCAACTTGGTATCTGCCGAAGAATCTGCTATTAACAGATATCCGGTGATTTTAGAATACTTTGTATATGTATTATGTTAATATGTTGATTAGTCGATGACTCGGTCTTTAACAATTTACGCCGCCTGCTACGGGAAATTATGAAAATTATAAAATAAACGATATATTTTTGCAAAACACACTTTATACATGACTTTAAGAGTATTATCACAGTATATAATGCTACAAAAGATATTTAACTAAAATAAACGCAATCGTTATTTTAGAGATGAGAACGTCATGAAGTAAGACATAGCGGTCTGTACTACCTTAAAATGGAAACATCACTATTTTAGTACGATATATCTTACACTATAAAACCATTATAAATATATAGTTTACAGTACATAGCTTTCTCCTACCGTGCTATAATTGGCCATTGACATCACGTATATTTTACCGGCGGTTAACGTGCACGGCTCGAGACTTCTGTAAAGCAATATCCGTAACAGCCTTTTGCTTTTTAAGGAAAATGTATACCAATGCGATCTACAACTGAGAGATTTTTTTGTCTGAAGCAGTTAGTAAATTCTCTACGCATTAATATATATATATTATTAACATATAGCGTGTCCTAAAATTACCGAATATCTCTTTAATAATAGATTCTCTGGCCAATCTGGACTTGTTGTTAGTGAAAATGTCGAAAGAGATTATTTTTTGCATGTTTCCAATTATTTTGATCATATATATCTTTTTTAATTAAAACTCAAATTTATAAAAAAATGCTATGAAAGTAAACTCCGCCTGAAATTAATTGAATAATAATGTGTATTTCTATTACTCCACAAATTATAGTCTACGAAAAGCCCTTTTACAATCGTTTATAACTCGAAAATTATTGATGTCTCGACATTTTTGCTTAAGGAAAAATCGTTTCCGTATTGATCAGAGAATCTACTATTAAAAAAATATTCGATGGTTTTGCCACATTCTGTATGTATATTAATATATATATCATAAAATGGAATATCTTAGAAGCGCAATATTTTAAGATACAAAGTTTGACAGAAGGATCATTCATATATCATTTGGAATTTTGTTATCTAGTAGAAAACATAAAGCATCTAGTAACTGTTATGAATATGTACTATATTATATGCACATTAAATGCATATGATATTCACAATATATAGTTTCTCAACGATATTTTTCTTAAATTTTATCAAATAATTTATTCTGTTATTTTTACGTTTTATCAAATATGTTTATGCTATGATCCATCAATCTCTGCCCCGGCAGAGACATGCACAAAAGATGAAAAAACGCTCCTGCGGACAAGGAGACGTATCTAATGAAATCCTCGGTACTGTCAAGATTACTCATTACCTAGATAAATAGAATTGCTATAAAAACACAACGTATTATATACTCTGATAAAAATAAATTTTTCCTAACCTTTTCTTTTTTTAAATACTTAATTATATACTTGCTTGAATTCCTACAAGACTCAAAGCGATCACGTTACATGACAGTTGGATGCCTGTCGATAACATAAATGAAGATTCCAATAAGCGGGCATACCTGACAATAAAGATATAATTTAGAAATTTAGAAATATATTCGATATAATTTCTTGCAAAATTCTTTACAAATCAACTTCTAAGTAAGTTAATATCCTAGCTTCTCTTGAGCATATGATGATACGTTATTGAAATAAGTGAAAGAGTAGTACAAACTGTATTGCCAATTGATGTTTTTGCAAGCAGATAATTAATTCGCGAAAAACTGTCTCTTTAAAATAAATATCTTTTATTTCCATGTCTCGACATGTTCTTTCATCATTTTTCGTAAGATAGCTTGTCTGAAATTGGTGTTCTTTCGAAATTATAACTATATGTTCTAATCGATATCTGAAACAAATATCAAGTTCTAACAGGTATCCAAGTTTTTCTTAGAGAATTATATTACGACTGCATAGAAAAACGAATCAATTCTCTAACAACATATAAGTAGGTACTGAGTTTTCAAAAACTTTTCTACCGAAGATTTTCTTAGCACACTCTAACAATATTGCTTATATAAATATAGAATTCTAGATATGAAAATTATTACTTTACGCGCGCGTATAATTTTAATATTATTATAATAAAAAAAATAAAAAGAAGAAGAGATAGTTTTATTACATACACCGTGATAAATATTAAAAATGTGTTTACCCAATGGCTGCGAATAAACTGCAGCCATGCTGCACGTACGCTATGTAAGTAGTATCGGCGCACACTACAATCGACATGACCGCTATAACCGCCACATACGAATGAAACAAAATGAAATAATAGTATTTCTCCCGATCTATGTGATATTCGACTTCAAACAAAAACCTTCGCGGACGACTCTCATTGAGAGGCATCACAATGTCCAGAATCTGCGGCGATATTGGCATTAACAAATACAATGACGTCGACACATAAACGTAAGCTGTGAACAACGATTAACACTGTGCTATCGTTTGATTCATACGTCATGTAATATTTAAAATGACAGCTATTTGCGAGATAGATACAACGTTTTCAATACGATTAAGCAAAAATAAGATAGATTGGCTTCTTACTTGCGTAAAATATTACCACTTTTCTACAGAATATAACGTAATCCTGTAAGATCTCGATGTCCGTGGAATTGTTAAATACTTGCCAATGATATTCGATCAAAGAAAATAGGTATCGCATCTAAAAGATTTATATAGGAAGATTTATACAAGAAGATAAAGATTTGTATAAAATTAATGGTATGTGTGCACATATACCTCATTAATTCTAAAGCCAAGATTGAATAACTTTGTGAAACAGGCAATTACAATTATAGTCGAAATTGTGCACTCAACTGCAATGTCGATATCACCCCAAGTATCAAACATTCGTATCATCTGAGAAAATAAGACGTAAATATTCACACAATATCACAATTTCTCTTTAAAGAAATGATTATATGGTAGTTATTATAGTATAATAATACCGCAATATTTTTTCCGATGATAATTATAATAGTTAATATCAAAAGCGAATTAGCCGAGAAACTCGCAGACTAGGGAAATGTCTTAATATGTTTCTACTCTTATATCGATAATATTTTCACAAGCACAAATTCAGAACAAATCTATTACGAGAAAGATGTATGCACGTATTACAAACAGCCACGAGATCGAGTGGTTACCTCTGCTATAACATAGCTGACGTCGATGATCGCTAGCAGGGTTGGTATTAATATCCTCATGGTCCTGCTCTGATAAGGCCAAGTGCCGATTTGCGACATGAAAGCCTTGTTAATGCGGTAGTAACGCAGTATGTCCGATTGCATGGTACATATCCGATAGATATCCGTCACGATGGCTGATCTGTAAGTGATACGACGAGCGGATGCTTTATACGGAAAGTATTGTGGTAATAAATATGCGTGATAAAAATGACGTGGTGGATATTTATCATGTCACGTTGTCAGTTGCACGGTCAGGTACCTATTTCTTTAACGTAGCCATTTGAACAGCGGTCGCGTGATCGATCTGAAAGCGCGAACGATTGCCGTTTTTCAGTGTGACAGTTTGATTGAAGACCTTGACAAAGGGGCGGAGATCAAATTTCGTTCTATCATATTTTAAAGAAACGGGACATAAGAAAGTCAGAGATATGGCAAATCAACTGACCACGCAATGTACATGTTGCCCGGGTTGCAATCACTGTGATAATCCTCTTATTTCGTATTTATATATAAAATAGTATAAGATAAAAGCACAATATAAAAAGATATATCAGAGACTAAATACATAAATATTAAATAAATTAATAGTTATATTATTTAATTATTTGTATTTATTACATGAAAGTCCATTGTAGGACGATAATTACAAAAGAGATACTTGCAATGAAATGGAATCTTTGATACATATGGATATCGACTTATCGAAAAGTCGAAAAGATGCCAACGTCGTCAAGTAAAACATCGTCTTCACTATCTGAAAAAAAGAGAGATGTGTAATCGAGTTTATAATATAAATTAAAATATAGGATTTAAATGATACGCGATGAATTTGATTGTGAACATTCATATCAAGCAAAAGTTCTCGATATTTAAAGGCGATATTTGTTAATGTTAATGAAGACTCGCTTTTTTACATATTAAACTTTGAAGGCAAGGCTGTTACAATTCTTTTATAATACACTTTAAAATTGCTCTTAAGCACACCTGTGATCGCTGCAATATCCTTGAAAAGACAGGGCTCAGTTCCCTTGTTTTCCTCAGGACATCCAACTCAACATTTTTCAGAAGAAGCTATTGGCCTAATGTCTTCATACTAGCGCTAGTAATAGACGCGCTGCGAACTGTATAACCAAAGCAACATTTTTCTCCAACACACGATAATCATCGTCTATAGTTTATAGAATCGTATCTTTTACGAATGAATGATAGTGCGTTCCTATGCGTATTTTCTCATTATCGTCAGTCTTAACATTTGTCTGGCCCACAATATTTTTTCAAAATGGCTTAGAAATAAAACGATAAGTAAATTAAGATAATCTGTACCGACAAATTCGCTATGTGTGTTTATGAATGAAGAAAGACTTTTAGGAAAATAATAAATTTTTAAGATGTTTAGAGAAACGAAATCTCAAATTTATTTTCAATATTATTCACCTGATAGCCGTAAATAAACTGCAAGCATGTAACACGCGTATTAAATACATGTATCGATAGATACAGCTATCGATAGATAACATGATTGCGACAGTGATCACAGTCGCCATATAAGCATGAAATAGGATCGGATAATAATATTTTTCTTTGTCCAATCTGTACTCTGCTTGATATACATATTTCAATGGCCGTGATTCATTCAATGGTATTACGATATCTAAGATTCTTGGAGTTAATGGAATAAATAAATACAGCATTAAAATTGCACAACAATATACTGTAAAAGAAAGCATATATTGCTTATATTGCATTACATATCATATTTTAAAAAATAGTTTCTTTGTGTTATATTATAATTTTGTAAATTGGAATATGTAAAATGAAAGAACCTGATTTATTTTAATTTCAAACTCAACGAGAGAGATAAGAGAGAATATTTTACATTTATATTATACTATGTGTAATGTTTATGGTGGCATTCAATCGACTATCATATAGTATTTGGCGTTCGTTTTGGTGTATAGCGCGCTCTATGCGCGACAGGATTCGCTACATATCGCGAAGACAGGACGTCGAATTCCGTGCCGTATACTATTGTGTTTTCGCGCTCGTCTTGTCAGTCGTTCGATGAGACTCGAGCGAGTAGGTACCGGCGCGATCTTCTCCATATATCGTCGTATTACTTCTCAGTATGTGATTGCGACAAATATTATGAGATGTTACACGCAATTATTCGTTAAGATTTTTACAATTAACGGTCATCAACTTGCGCAAAATTAATTAATGTTCAATAATTCATCACGTTTTCGCGAGTGAGTGTGAATGTCGTGAAAGAACCGCAAAGGATGAATGAGACAGGAGCAGACCCGAGAAGTTATCGGACGAACAAACACAGGATGAGTACAATTTATAATGTTAAAATTTAATTTTTAATAAGGAGTTATAAATTAGCTGTTCGCAAATATGTCAACTATTATCAAAGTTTTATGGATTTTATTTCTTTCCACGAGAGACGTTAGGCTTACTCGAAAATAAAGCTACGTTAAAGCAATTTTAAAGCCGTGTTAAGCTTTGACTATGTAATCATGGACTGCTCATCCCCACTTTTTTCATATAAACAATGCAAGGAAAAAATCCAGTATTGATTCGATATATTTCAAGATTTAGGCTTCGCCCCGATGACCAAAAAACAAGAATTCAAACATATCAAGGGTATATTCGCAACGAGAAAAATTTATTTGTGGCATAGTATTCTTCCATCTCCGCATGCATTATGTCGTAGGCAGTCCTTATACGAATATCTTGTCGTGTATCAGCTTTTTCTTTATTAAATGTCCAACATGAGAAAAAAATGACGTGGACAACAAAAACAATATGATTACGATAATACCGGATTGTCAAACATTATATACGAGCCGTGAAAGGCATATATTTAACTAATCGATGTAAGATGCCGTCTCTACATTCTAGTAATTTATAGAATCTTCTTGAATTATTCGAGTAGAAATTGCAAATTGTCTTTGAGATGATCAAGAAATATTTAAAAATTTTTTCAGCGAAAAAAATATGTAGCTCATATAAATGCGCGAGAACAAAGAGAATCGTGTAATATTAAGTTATTTTACTTTTTTTTTTATATTATTTGAACTTATCTTTAAAGCACATATATTTTTTGTTGTACAATTTTTACACGCAGATTGATTTGTTGTTTAATATCTATTATATGTATACTATCCATCTATATATATCTATAATATACTAATTGTTTTAAAATCATTGAACATTTTTTTGATAGCAGATTTTCTGGCAGAATAACAAATTTTTCTTAATTATTCCTTAGCAAAAATTTTAATGCATTAAGTCGAGTTATAAATAATTGAAAAAGAACGATTTTTCACAAACTAAATTTTGTGGACTCAACAAATTAACAAAAATACATTTTACATTTAATTTCAAGTGAAATCTATTTTAAGAAAAAAATTTAAATTTGAAGCTTACAAAGATATATGATAAAAGAAATTGAAAATTTGCAGAAAATGATGAGCTTTCCCGATATCTTGACCAAGAAGAAATGAACTTAACCGGAGAATTTGCTATTAAAAGGCATCCGGTGGTTTTAAAGCATTCTATATATGTATTATATTAATATGTTGATTAGTCGATGACTTGGTCTTTAACAATTTATGCCGCCTGCTACGGAAATTATGAGAATTATAAAATATATTTTTAGGATATATTTTTGCAAAACACATTTTATACATGACTTTAAGAGTATCTAAAAATTTATTTTTATTACAGTATACAGGGTGTCCGGTAAAGATTGTGCCAACGCTCGTGAGCGGGTACATTTTAAATTAATAATATATTGGACTGTTATAGTATATAATATGCATTATACATATATACAGCAATAATATATAAAATTTAATTAACATTAATTTACATTTTTTTTCTCTTTCTCTTTTTTTGACCAGAAGAAGAAATTAAACAAACTTCCATATTTTTATTTTTAATTATTCGGACATTTAATTACTCTAGAAACAGTTATCACAATTACATGTGAGAAACGTGATTATTATGGATGCATCGGATATATAAAAAACGACAACTCTAAGTATTCATGATTTTGGTATAATATGCCTGCAAATAAATAAAAATTATACTAATTTTAATAAGAGACGGTATACCATGCAAGAGTTAATGGCTGGAGGAAATGGTTCGTATAATATCGCCGAAGAACTTTTGCTAGATACAAATGCTCACAATTAAATTCGTCGCATGTCATTTAAATCCTATATTTAAATTTATATTACAGACTCGATTATACATCTCTTTTTTTAGATAATGCAGACGATGTTGGCATCTTTTCGACTTTTTGATAAGTATATCCACATGTATCAAAGATTCCATCCCATTGCAAGTATCTCTTGTAATTAACGCCCTACAATGTAGAACTTTCATGTAATAAATACAAATAATTAAATAATATAATTATTAATTTATTTCATATTTATGTAGTTAGGCTTTAATATACAGGGTGTCCCAGATTATTTGGGACAATACTCGTGTGCAGATAGAGCGGACCAAACTGAGTCGAAAAGTCCTCTATGTCAGCGCACACTTCACGGCGCACGGCTTACCGATGTGCGCCCAGCTAAAGATTGGCGCTGATTGGCCAGACTTTACTCGATAATAACTCCTTTATTAAGCGTTATAAAAAAAATGATAGAGGATTTTTCGACTCAGTTTGATCCGCTCTATCTGCACACGAGTATTGTCCCAAATGATCTGGGACACCCTGTATATTAAAGCCTAACTACATAAATATGAAATAAATTAATAATTATATTATTTAATTATTTGTATTTATTACATGAAAGTTCTACATTGTAGGGCGTTAATTACAAGAGATACTTGCAATGGGATGGAATCTTTGATACATGTGGATATACTTATCAAAAAGTCGAAAAGATGCCAACATCGTCTGCATTATCTAAAAAAAGAGATGTATAATCGAGTCTGTAATATAAATTTAAATATAGGATTTAAATGACATGCGACGAATTTAATTGTGAGCATTTGTATCTAGCAAAAGTTCTTCGGCGATATTATACGAACCATTTCCTCCAGCCATTAACTCTTGCATGGTATACCGTCTCTTATTAAAATTAGTATAATTTTTATTTATTTGCAGGCATATTATACCAAAATCATGAATACTTAGAGTTGTCGTTTTTTATATATCCGATGCATCCATAATAATCACGTTTCTCACATGTAATTGTGATAACTGTTTCTAGAGTAATTAAATGTCCGAATAATTAAAAATAAAAATATGGAAGTTTGTTTAATTTCTTCTTCTGGTCAAAAAAAGAGAAAGAGAAAAAAAATGTAAATTAATGTTAATTAAATTTTATATATTATTGCTGTATATATGTATAATGCATATTATATACTATAACAGTCCAATATATTATTAATTTAAAATGGAATTTTTCTAGTGAAACTTTAAGGATCACAATTATTAGAAAATTAAAAAAGCATACAAAATATTCAAGGATTTTTATATTTTTATACATCATTATTTTAACGAATTTTTTTGCACTTTCAAAAAAATCTGTTGTATATGAATAATGTACATATATATATAATATTATTTTTATCTTGAAAATATATTTAAAACTAAGAGATAATACAATCACAATTAATAAATTGATTCTGTGCAAATAAAAAAAACGGTATTTTTTCAATAGGAATACATTGGTCTTGATACATTTATTATTTTATATCTATAATAAAAACTATTAATTATTGCTATTTTGTAGCTGTTACAAATAATTAAAATATCATCGAAAATAAATATGCCGCATAATTAAATTGAAGAAAAGATATCTGTATTTCGCTTTTATCCCTTTACATTTTTTTACCTATTTCTATTATCATCTTGTAACTTCTATAAGTGTTAACAATTTATAAAATTAAGTACTCATTTTTAAATTTGTAATAAATTTTGAACTTCTGTACAATATAATATTTGCATTATATATGAATCTAATCGAAAAAGAACAAATGTATTTTTTATCCAATTGAATTGTATCATAATATTTCATATTAATGACACATTTTCTATGTAACAATATATATGTTATTTTTTCTGTTCACGATATTGCTTTATTATATTTCACGAATGCGAGGCAGATATACTGTCTTTCACTGCACATATTGTACGAATGAATTTGCAAATCATTCAAGCAACGGAAAATGCTATACTCTGTACTGTGAAAGAGTCGATTATCTAATAAAGTATTACGATGAAAAGCAGCGATAAAGAGAGTTGCAGTGTACGTAAGTAATTACGCGCTATACTATATGATGACATAAGTACAGCCGTGCACAAGGAATTGTTAATAATGTCCCCATGCTTCGCTTATTGTTTGTAGCCAGCATTCACAAAGTATTGTTTGATAGTTTGCGTTCTTAGTATTTCTGAAAATGACCGAGGAAAGGGATATTTTACAAAGTCAATATTACACGATTCCTAGATTCTACATGACTTTAGCAGGATTATGGCCATATCATTCGATTCGTGATAGATATCTGCATTTTATGCCGACATTTACGGTCTGTTTTATTATTTTCATACCCCAGGTATATATAATTGAACATATATATTAAAAATGATATATAATATTTTATTAAGTTTTAAGACAGGTTTTGCTTGTGTATAAAAATGTATGTGTTGTATTATGTGTATGTGTGTTTTTATACATTTTATATATTTTTATGTATAAATTTGTAATCTTATAGAAAGCATCTAAAATAATGCTCAATTATTTTCTTATCAGCATTTTTATACAAAACATATATATTTTTTTCTTGCTACATATATATTTTTATATTACACACACATACGCACATATTTTTTATAATATATTTTTTCCATGCAAATATCTCAAAACTCAGCTTCCAATTTCTACAAATATGAGATCATCACATTACTATTAATATCTTGTAACACATATTGATATCGCAATATTTTATAATACAGCTACTATATGTGCACATTGCCATGACGGATATCGATGATCTTTTCGAATGTATTCCAACAATGTTGATCACGATAATATTTAGTTTTAAGTTAGCGAGCTTGATGGCAAACAGTAAGAAAGTAGGTAACAATAATACAATTTCACTAATGCGATTAACGTCTTGTAATTAAATCTTTGATATCTATTCCGGTAATAAATAACGACATCGATATAGTGAAAAATATCCTTGTTTTATACGAGAATATATATTTATAGGTAAAAACTTGTCTTAAGACAATAGAGGACGATTGGTTGTCATTAAGTACGGATGACGAGAAGGCTATTCTGCAACGACAGACTGCATACGGCCGATATCTGACGATATTTTACGCAAGTATGTTATAAAAAGATGGAAATTTTGGTAAAAATTTTTTGGCGAGAAATTGAAAAGTCGAAACTTTTTTTCATAAATTGACCGAATCTTTTCGAGCGGATCTCTCTGTATAACGCGTATTTTTAGTGTTTATGCAGCTGACAGGATTTCTCTACATACTCAAATCGATCGTGTTGATACTGATAGATGATACCTCGAACTCGACCAAACTGGCCGTAACGAAATTACCATTTCGCGTGGAATACGGCCACAAGATAGATCAATATTTCTATCTGATACTGGTCCATAACTATTTAACCGTATTTTCTCACGTGACCGCCACAGTCGCGACTGATACCTTGTACTTTACCTTGATCCAGCATGCGTGCGGGATGTTTTCGGTTGTCGGGTAAGATAATCACGATCGAGAATAACGTTTCACGAATTAAGATAATTCAGACGAAATTCGCGTGATTAACATCATTGGAAGTACATTATTGCATATTATTTTCCATCATTGTTTTCCTTCTGACTCAATCTTGATGACTTCGATAATTTTATAAAATTATACGAGATCTGAAAATATAAAATTTTCCAAGAGTGTTATTATTTTAGCGGTTTCCAGACATTCGTTGGAAAGCATTGGCAAAAATAGCAATGACGATTTCGATCTAAAGCCCAAAAAGGTCAAAGATATTAATTACAGCAAGGTTCTGGGCTGTTTACGCAAGCATCTGCACGTGATAGAGTACGTGTTAATGTTCTTTAACAAAACTATATACAATCGTAATTTTTTCATATTCCTTTGAACCACGTTGTTTTACGATTTAGCAGATTTGCGGAAATGATCGAGTCTACGTTCGCGAATATATTTTTGGTCAGCATTAGTCTAAATATGATTGGAGGCAGTATATGCGGTATACAGGTGTGCATCAAATTCTGTACGATGAAAATTGTTTCAACTGCAAATAGGAAAAATTTTTTTAAATTTAGCGTAGATATTTATCCTTGAAATTATTAACGCATAATAAAAATAAAAAATAAAAACTATTTTTAGGTATTGATAAATTTAAATGATGCAAAAGATATAATAGCACCTCTCGCTATTTATATCGCTCAACTCATTCATCTATTCCTACAATTTTGGCAGGCTCAATTTTTAATTGATTACAGTGTTCTTCCGTACGAGTCAATGTAAGAAATCAAGCTTTTTTAAATTGAATCAAAAGCATTTGTATCACTTTCTGGAACGCTATCGTTCGATAATAAAGTATAGATGTAGCAAATGCGAACGAATGTCTTCAGCTTTTATCTGCATATTAATCATGTCTTTTGTGTTCCAGTTGCAAGGCGAATTGGTATTACACCTCGAACAGATGTAGAAAACTCCTACTTTTGATTATGAGCAGAACGGTCTTACCATGCAGAATAACTGCTGGCAAAGTGGTGACTTTATCAATCGAAAGCTTTGGCGTGGTAAGTAAAAGTTTTTTTTTTTTTTTTTTTTTGAACTCTTACTCTGTAATATATTTAAGATTGATGATGATGGGATAATTCCATTTCTCGAAAGGTTCTGAAAACATCGATGTCATATTTCACCATGCTGCGTTCCTTCCATTAACAATTGCAATGGGAGTTTGGGTAATCTGCTGAGAAAATTTTAATTAAGAGTCATATTTATTCACATGCGATGTATTATAATAATTTTACACACGCGGCAATAGATTTAGATTGTTCTAATTGTCAAAAATGTACCGAAAATATAGAATGACAAAAAATTTTAGGCAGACTACAAATTTCCTACCTTTTACCGTAATCGAAAATCGTTATATGTCACATCTATTGTCGGGACAGTTAATTCTTTTTTTTATAAAGACGGAATCTTTACGATTGCCATTTGAAAACTCAATTTGTTTATATACGAAGTATATAATATATAGTATAGTATATCGATAGTACGAATATCGACTGCAAACAGTATAGCGAGAAAGGTTACATTTAGCAAAGCCGCGACTAAAAGACTGAAACGGCAAGAAGGGGAGGTGAGATAGGGTTGTACTTTAGCGGGGAAATAATTGCGTAGTAATTCTGTAATGACGTAACTACTGTATAACGCGCGCGGCCTCGCAAGTACTGCGACCCACAAGGAATTGATAATAACATTTTACCGAGTGACATTCACAAGGAATCGTTGATAGATCGTAATCTTAGTTATTTCTGAAGATGGCTGAGCGAAGGGATATTTGGCAAAGTCGCTGTTACATGATTCCCAGAATGTATATGAGCTTGATAGGAATATGGCCCTATCATACCTTTCGCGATAGATGCTTGCTCTTTGCGCCGATGTTTATATTCTCCCTCACCATCCTTGTACCACAGGTATTTGTTGTTATCGATCTGTTTATGAGAAAACAATAATTATTCATCGTTTTCTTTTTGTATATCCTATAATACATATATTAGTAATTTTAAAATAATTGTATATATTATAATATTAATTTTGACGTAGCTATTGTACCTGCTAATCACCGCGAGGAATCTTGACGATGTATTCTCGTGTACCCCGTCGATGTGGATCACCATAATATTTAGCTTTAAATTAGGGAGTTTGATGATAAACAACAAGAAAGTACGCGATAATCGTATGAATTCCGCACGATGCGATCGATATACAATAGATATTAAGCTCTTAATCTCGGTATAAAGATAGTCGATGCCGCGAAAAATATGCGTGCTTATATTTCTAGTTGAAGACTTGTCTTAAGACGATAGAAGACGATTGGTCCTCATTGAATACGGACACGGAAAAAGATATTCTACGGCGACACAGTGCTTACGGACAGTATATCACGCTGACATATGGAGGTACGTCTTCGAGAAGAGTAAAAATTTCGATAGAGAATCTCTTTCGATTAATCATGATGTAACACACATCGATTTTTATCCAGTCTTTATGCAGTTCGTGGGAATTCTTCTCATATTTAAGTCGCTCGTCGTGATACTGATAGAGGACATGTCAGATGCGACAATAACTTCGCTGGCGGCGGAATCGAAGCTTCCGTTTCGGGTAGAATACGGCGAAAAATTCAGCCGATATCTGTATCCGATAGCGATACACTGTTATCTAGCTGTATTCGCTCATATCAGTATCACAATCGCGGTCGACACCTTCTACATTGTTCTAATTCGCCACGCGTGCGGGATGTTCACGATTGTCGGGTAAGGGTAAATCCATCATCCAAGAATGACAATTATAAAATTGAGATATACTCGTTGGAGGTATAATCGTACGTGAGTTTCCGTAATACGTCTTTCGTCAAATCTCGAGCTAGTTCGAATAAACTGCGGCTGATTTCGATCTCGCCAGGAGAAGCGTTATCATTTGAGCGGTTTCCAGAAACACGCTGGAACATATCGGCAAGGATAGCGATGGCAATTTTGATCTGAAACCTGACAAGATCATGGATGGCAATTACAGCAAAGCTCTGGACTGCTTACGCAAACATCTGCACGTGATACAGTTGCGTTAATTTTAATGTTTTTGGACGCAGAAATTTATCATATGCGATCATACTTTTTTCGTATTACTTTTTTAATCGCGATCACGTTTCGCGTTTTCGTAGATTCGCGGAGTTGATCGAGTCAACGTTCTCCAACATATTTCTGGTCAGCGTTTGTCTGAACATGATTGGTGGCAGTATGATCGGTATACAGGTATAATAAATTCTTTTGTAAACTTTGCAATAAAATTGTTCAACGAGAAGGTTTCTGTAATTTGCTAATAATTAATATTTTTGACAAAATACTTGACAAAAATAATACTTGCAATAAGTAATCCGATGAGATTCACAAATCAAAGATCTTTAAAGGAAAAATGTTGAAAATAGAAAATATTAAAATATGTATTTCAGGTGATTTTGAATTTGAACGATGCGAAGGATATCATAACTCCCCTCGCTATCTATATCGCTCAACTCATTCACCTCTTCCTACAATTCTGGCCAGCTCAATTCCTGTTAGATTACAGTATTGTTCCTTACCAGTCAATGTAAGAATACGCTTCCAATTTAGCGTATATCACGATGAAATTATCGTAAGAACATATTACGACAAAATTATATAATTCTTTTATATTACTATATTTTCTTATACTTACGATAATTTAAAAATTTGTTTTAATTTTTTTAGTCACAAACTACAGACGCGATAACTGCGAGACTAAACATTTTTCATTTTTATTTTTTTTCTTGTTTTGAATTGCAGTTGCAGGTCAAATTGGTATTACACTTCAAGAAGATGCCAAAAGCTTCTTTTTTTAATAATGAATAGAAGCCTGTTACCGTGTAGAATAACTGCTGGCAAGATCGTGGCTCTGTCCATTGAAAGCTTTGGCACGGTGAGCAAAACCTTCTCTCTAAAATATCTTATTATAAATTAATTTTTTTAAAGAAAATAATTAGCAATAGTTCCATTCTTTGAAGGTTCTAAAAACGTCGATGTCTTATCTCACGATGTTGCGCTCTTTCAATTGATTATACCGACATCATCTATGTTATCCAGCAGCTTGTTAATAAAATTTTAAAAGTTACACATGACTTTATCGTAACAGTTTCTGCTATTAATTTGGAATTAATTTAAAAATACCGAAGATATATGATATATGGAAAGTTTTAATTTTAGAACTTGTACCTTTCACCGCAAATTCGTAATAACCATTAGAAAATGCTGCGTGTTTTGTTTCACGACCTAATTGTCCAAGAACGCTTTAGATATAGTCGCTACTTAGAAATTCAGTTTGTTCAGTTCTTAGCAAAGCTGCGAGAGTTTACACGTGTAACAGTAAAGAGGAGGAGGAGAAAGAGGAGAGTACACTAAAGGAGAATAATTACGGCGTTTATTATTATAATGGCAGGAAGGCATATACGCCTCGCATATACGCGTTGCAACACAAAGAATCGTTAATGTCCATGAGCTTTTCACTGAATTCACAAGTAATCGTTGATTATTTGCCTAATATTTCCGACAATGAAAACGCAAAGAAGCATTTGGCAAACTCATTATTATGCGGGACTCAGGATGTATATGACATTAGTGGGAATATGGCCATATCACACGATCGGCACTAAGTGTTTGCATTTCGTGACGATGTTTACGTTCTGCTTCAGTATCCTTATACCCCAGGTATCATTGCACCTTTAGTATATCGCGTTCTCTCAAAGTGTTTGTTACTCGTATAGAGAATTTATTAAAATCAACTCACGTGCAGAAGGAATTAGCTACACATTTTTTCATTTTCCAATTTTTCAAATTTGTTGACATATTCCGCGATACTGATTTAAACATAGGTGCTATATCTGCTAAACGGCTTGATCGACCTTGATGATGTGTTTGAATGCGTGCCGTCGATGGCAATCACCATAGTATTCAGCTCTAAGTTAGTGATCATGATGATAAACAATAAAAAAGTAGGTATATCGAGATTGCACATGAATACAGTGGTACGATTAACGTCACGTGATTAAACACTTGACGCAGTTTTATAGAAGGAAAAAAATAGCGCGAGTGTATATTTATAGATAAAAGAGCCTGTTTTAAGACGATAGAGGAGGATTGGCTGTCGCTGAATACGGATATCGACAAGGCTATCTTGCAACAGTACACCAAATACGGACAATATCTGACGAAATTTTACGCAAGTACGTATTGGTAAAATGAAAAAGAATTCATGAACATATTGTAGTTTATGCCAATTGATAAAATTACATTTTTGAAAAGACGTCTTTTGTGTATCTGCAGAGAAACGATTTTTTTTTATTATATAAATACTTCAATGTTGAGCTTAGAAATATCTCGAAAAAAATATAAAAGACATTTAAAAAATCTTTCCATTGTTCTTAAATTTTTATTGCGCATCTATTCTATTTAAAACAATTCATTTAAAATGTATTAAAATAAGTTTAAACATTTATCAAAGAAAACTTCTTAATTCAATACATATTATTTATGCAACATTCTAGTAATTATGCTTGTTCCGGCACTGTTCCACATACTCAGGCCTTTCATCACGACGCTACTGAAAAACGATATCGAGAACATAACAAAATCATCGATACCAGGAGCGTCGAAATTGCCCTATCGCGTCGAATATGGTGAGAAATTGAATCAGCATTTTTATTTGATAATGCTTCACTGTTGTCTAGCTGTATTCGCTCATCTTATCGCCACGGTCGCGGTTGATGGATTCTATTATACTATGATCCAGCATGCCTGCGGAATGTTTTCGATTATCGGGTAAGGATATCGGGCATCAACGATGACCCAAAACTGATAAAAAATTTAGATAAAAATATCTTGCGCCAATGCTTTTACACGCTTCCAGAAACATGTTGGAAAACATTGGCAAAAATGATGACGACAATTTTCATTTAGAGATAAAAACAATAAAAGATGACAATTATCACATGGCACTGAACTGTCTGCGTAGGCATCTTCGCGTATTAGAGTACGTGTTAATGACGTGATATTTCTCTCCCTGCTACTGTTAATCATTTTATTAAGCAAATAATATCCGCTATAAATCGGTATTTTTTATTATATTAGCTGTAAATACATTGAGATTCATAATTTGCAGATTTGCTAAATTAATCGAGTCTATATTTACGAATATGTTTCTGATAAGTGTAAATATAAATATGCTTGGAGGCAGTTTATGCGGTATACGGGTATGAATCAATATTCTTTTTTGCATCAACCCAAAGAATATCCATAACTTAATTACAATTAATAGTTGATAAAATGAAAATATAAGATAGTATTTTAATCTGCAATTTTAAGCAGAATTTCTTCGGAACATTGTATATATGTGTATATACTTCTCCTGAAATAAATTAATCCTAACTGAAGTCAAGAAATTTTTCTATTCAAGAAGTTAAATTTGTTTTCCAGGTGATAATGAATTTAAACAACGCAAGCAATATTGCAGCACCTTTATCTGTCTATTTTGCGCAACTCGCTCATCTCTTTCTACAATTCTGGCAGGGCCAATTTCTATTGAGCTTCAGCGATGTTCCATACGAATCTATGTTAGAATTTTTTCGAGTTGTGTGATACATTGCCATTTATATTTAATTAATTCCTTCAGTTTTGTAATACACACACACACACACACACACACACACACACACACACACACCGCAATTCAATTTCATTTTGTGTTAAATTTACTGAAATGGCCTTTATATCATAAAGCACAAATATTACACTTGTAAATGTTTTTATCACTAATTGCCATATCCATAATAACATGAATCTCGCTTTGTGTTACAGTTGCAGAGGAAGATGGTATTGTACTTCACGAAAATGTAGGAAGATTTTTCTTTTAATTATGAGCAGAACTATGTTACCCTGCAAAATAACTGCCGGCAAAATCATGATCTTATCAATCGAAAGTTTTAGCGCGGTAAAGTAAACTTGTATTTATTTTATAATTATTTATATACATAACATTTGAAGTAATTATATAAAAGAGTACAGATTTTACGACGATAAATTTAATATTTTTTAAAGGTTCTAAAAACGTCGATGTCTTATTTTACGGTACTACGTTCCTTCCAGTGATAATGTCATCTCAAGAAAAGTAGTCATTACTAATAAATTTGGTTAGTATATAATAAAATTGTACATGAAAATTCTCTTTGTCTTTTTTTGTCATCGTTCTTCTGAAAATTAAAATCAGACTGATGATGAGACATGGCCCACAAATCATGATTTATGAATATTTTAGAATTTGCAGTTCACTGGCGATATATTTCATATATTAATTTTATAATATTAAATTCGATAGATTTAAATTTCAGAGACTATCGAAATTATGTTGTATTAATCTTTGCAGGCTCTCTCATGTTCTCACATACATTTGCTATCTTCCCTATATTATTCATGTGTTATTATTATTTTATTATTTCTTTTCCAATTATTTCAAAAGAAACATTAAGTGTCTAAAAGCGGAATTATCCGATGCGTTTTTTTAAAAAACACCTAATCTGAAAATCGATTCATGTAGATGCTATTGATAAAAAAATATATATATGTATATATAAATATGTCTTTGCGGAGAGAGTTAATAAAATAGGAAATTATAAAAATGTAGACACACGAAAGAAAATACAGGTAAGTAATAGCAATAGTAATATTTATGTTCTTCGCGCGATTACTATGTCATCTCCATGTTGCATCGAAAGAGAATGTATAAATAATTTGACCAACGGCGAACATTCGCAAGGAATTTACGCCCGAATCTATGTAAGAATGCGCATATGTTTGTTCATGTTGATACCTTCATAATTTAATTGTTGTATTTTTCTAATTTTTTTTCTTTTATTTTGAACTATCGAAAAAACTCCGAGATAAATCGAAAAATTTAACGCTTCTGTATATTTTTTACGACGTGATTTTAACATGATTTACTTGTGAATTGCTATAAATAATTACACGGATATAATTTGCGCTTTGGTTCTCGCTCCGTTTCTTATTAATTTTTTTTTTTTTTATGGCAATTTCTTCATATATGTATATAAAATGTGCAAAACAAATAAAAAAATTTTTTTTTATTTTTTTCTTTTATATATATATGTATATATACATACACGTATATACATATATGTATATTGAGATGAAATAAATGAAGACAATTTTTTTCTAGATTTTTCGCTTCTCGTTTGTTTCGTAATTAATCCTGTTTCTCTTAGTTGCACAACAAAAATTGGAATATTATACTTTGGGGAGAACTCCATCTCTCTATCATGAATTGACCGATATCATTGTATAGAATAATTGCTGGCAACATTGTGGCTCTGTCCATTGAAAGCTTTGACACAGTAAGTAAAACTATGCTATTATTTCCGACTTTATCTCTATAATATCTTATTATAAATTAATTTTTTTAAGAAGATAATTAGCCATTCCTTGAAAGTTCTAAAAACGTCGATGTGTTATTTTACGTTGCTGCGCTCCTTCAATTGATTATACCGACATCATCTGTGCGATCCAGATTGTTAATAAAATTTTAAAAATTACACGTGACTTTATCGTGACAGTTTTTGCTATTAATTTGGAATTAATTTAAAAATATCGAGAATATATATATCGATGATATACGGAAAGTTTTAATCTTAGAACGTGTACATTTTATCACAAATTCGTAATAACTATCAGAAAACACTGCGTGTTTTGTTTCACGACTTAATTCCAAGTACGCAATCTTTAGGTATAGTCGCTATTTAGAAATTCAGTTTGTTGCAGTTCTTACCAAAGAGACTTCACGCGTGTAATATTAAAGAGGGGGAGGAGAAAGAGGAGGGCATGCTAGAGGAGAATAATTACGCGTCCATTATTATAATGACAAGAAGACATATACACATGCCTCATATACACGTCGTAACACAAGGAATCGTTGATATACACGGGCTTTACACTGAATTCACAAATAAAAGAAGATCGTTCGCCTAATATTTCTGACGATGATCACGCAAAGGAGCATTTGGCAAAGTCACTATTATGTGGTACTCAGGATGTATATGACATTAGTGGGAATATGGCCATATCACACGATCGGCACTAAGTGTTTGCATTTCGTGACGACGTTTACGTTCTCCTTCAGTATCCTTATACCCCAGGTATCATTGCACCTTTAGTATATCGCGTTCTCTCAAAGCGTTTGTTATTTATATAGAGAATTTATTAAAATCAACTCACGTGCGGAAGGAACTACACATTTTTTCATTTTCCAATTTTTCAATTTTATCGATATATTTTGCGATACTGATTTAAACATAGGTGCAATATCTGCTAAACGATTCGATCGACATAGACGATGTGTTCGAGTGCGTGCCTTCGATAGCAATCACTATATTATTCAGCTCTAAGTTAGTGATTTTAATGATAAACAATAAAAAAGTAAGTATATCGAGGATTGCACATGAATACAGTGGTACAATTAACGTCACGTAATTAAACACTTGATGCAGTTTTATACAAGAGAAAAATAGCGCGAGTGTATATTTATAGATAAAAGCCTGTTTTAAGACGATAGAGGAGGATTGGCTATCGCTGAACACGGATATCGAGAAGGCTATTTTGCGGCAATACACCGAATACGGACAGTATATGACGAAAGTTTACGCGAGTACGTATTGGTAGAATGAGAAAGAATTTATAAAGATATTGTAGTTTATGCCAATTGATAAAATTATATTTCTGGAAAGACGCCTTTTGTGTATCTGCAGAGAAATGATTTTTTTTTTTTATTATGTAAATACTTCAATGTTGAGCTTAAAAATATTTCGAAAAAAATATAAAAGACATTCAAAAAATCTTTCCATTGTTCTCAAATTTTTATTGCGCATCTATTCTCTTTAAAATAATTCATTTAATGTGTATTAAAATAAACTTAAACATTTATCCAAAAAAACTCTTTCATACAATATATATTGTTCATGTAACATTCTAGTAATTATACTTGTTCCGGCAATGTTCCACATACTCAGGCCTTTCATCACGACGCTACTGAAGAAGGATATCGAGAACATAACAAAATCATTGATACCAGGAGCGTCGAAATTGCCCTATCGCGTCGAATACGGCGAGAAATTGGATCAGCATTTTTATTTGATAATGCTCCACTGTTGTCTAGCTGTATTCGCTCACCTTATCGCCACGATCGCGGTTGATGGCTTCTATTATACTATGATCCAGCATGCCTGCGGAATGTTTTCGATTATCGGGTAAGAATATTGGGCATCAACGATGACCCAAAACTGACGATAAAAAATTAAGATAAGAATATCTTTACGCTTTTGAACGTTTGTACACGCTTCCAGACACATACTGGAGAACATCGGCAAAAATGATGATGCCAATTTACATTTAGGGGTAAAAAAAATAAAAGACGACAATTATAACATGGCACTAAACTGTCTACGTAGACATCTTCACGTTTTGGAGTACGTGTTAATGGCGTAATCTCTTCTCTCTTCTACTGTTAATCATTTTCTTAAGCAAATAATATTCGCTATAAATCGGTATTTTCGATTATATTATCTGTAAATACGTTGAGATTCGTGATTTTGCAGATTTGCCAATCTGATCGAGTCTATATTTACAAATATGTTTCTATTAAGCGTAAATGTGAATATACTTGTGGGCAGTTTATCCGGTATACAGGTATGAATCAATATCCATTTTTGCAGCTACCAAAGCAATTTAATTATAACTAATTTAATAAAAAAAAGTTAATAAGAAAAAGAAAGACAGTATTTCAATCTGGAATTTCGAGCAGGATTTTTTCAGAACGTTGCACATATATACTTCCTCTGAAATCAATTAATTCTAATTGAAGTTAAGAAATTTTTCATTTCATGAAGTTAAATTTGTCTTCTAGGTGATAATGAATTTAAACAACGCGGGCAGTATTGCAACACCTTTGTCTATCTATTTTGCGCAAATCGTTCATCTCTTTCTACAATTCTGGCAGGGCCAATTTCTATTGAACTCCAGCAATGTTCCATACGAATGCATGTTAGAATTTATTCGAGCTGTATGATACATTGTCATTTATTTTTAATTAATTCTTTCGTATTTTGTAATACACACACATATACCGCGATTCAATTTCATTTTGTGTTAAATTGACTGAAATGTTCTTTTTATCACAAAGCACAAATATTACACTTGTAAACGTTTTTATCACTAATTGTCATATCCATAATAACATGAATCTCTTTGTGTTACAGTTGCAGGGGAAAATGGTATTGTACTTCACAAAAATGTAAGAAGATCCTTCTTCTAATTATGAGCAGAACTATATCACCTTGCAAAATAACTGCCGGCAAAATCATGACCTTATCAATCGAAAGTTTTAGCGCGGTAAAGTAAAATTTTATACTTGTATTTATTTTATAATTATATATATATATATATGTAACACTTGGAATAATTATATAAAAGAGTATACGGCGAGAGATTTAATATTTTTTAAAGGTTTTGAAAACGTCGATGTCTTATTTTACGGTACTACGTTCCTTCCAGTGATAATGTTATCATCTCAAAAAATAGTCGTCTCTAATAAATTTTTTTAATATAATAAAATTGTACATTAAATTTCTCTCTGTCCTTTTTTCTTATCGTCCTTCTGAAAATGAAAATCAGACTGATGATGAGACATGGTCCATAAATCATGTATTTATGAATATTCTAGAATTCACAATTCACTGACGATATATCTCATATGTTAATTTTATGATATTAAATTCGATAGATTTATTTCGGAGATTATCAAAATTATACTGTATTAATCTATGCTAGCCATTTCATATTCTCATATCTATTTGCGGATATTATTTTTTAAAAGTTCTAAAAATTTTTCTCTCTTCTCACTATGTTTCTCCTTCTTTTCGCAGATAATCAGTGCATGTATGCATCCTTCATTTCTTAGTAATATTTTTAAATAAAATAAAATAAATCCATATTTTTACATAAAGACTAAATGTTTTTAATAATAAAAATTTGATGTGCTGCTTCTTTCTCTTTCTGTTCAGAATTAAAAGAAAATGGTAAAACATATTTTTGCGTTACACTTATACTATACATTTACATTTAGAATTTTTTTCAATGTGCTATTTATACCTTGAAGAGAAGTTTTATGCGCTGAGGAAAACGTGTGATAATTTTATGGATCGATCGTCAGAAACGAAGAGGCACGAAAAAACATTTTGCGATTATAGCTCGTAATTTGTGTGACATTGTATTTTTATGCAAATTATGTAAATAATGTATATTATTAGGGAAATGGAGAAAGAGGGGATAGTTCTTACATATCAACCGCTATCTTTGCAGATGCGTATTCGAATAAGATGGGAAAAATAGAGCGTTTCTCTGCTTGAGCTTTGAAACGTAAACAAATGTATTGTGATAATTTCATGAATATCAAATACGTACAAAAACGTTACTACTATTTGCGAACAATTTACAAACTGTTTGCTACACTTTTTAGTAACATACAAATCGATATGCCCGATTGTATGATCTTGAAACAAAAGTCACAGTGACATTATTAAGGAAAGGGAGAGCGTTTTATAATCATAATATATCGCCGATATTGCTTACCATTGAGAAAGTTTCTAAACTCAGAGTATATATACTGTATGAATTAATGGAAACCGTTCGCATACATCTTATCATAACGAATAACATAATCTTTTGCTTCCACACGGACATATTGTGCCATTTTCCGCAATATCTACGAGATTTACGTTCAATTACGTACGATTAAAACGTATTCTTTTATATATTTATATATAGATATTTCTCGCTTAATAAAATATTGCGCGTCAATGAGCGCGAAATGTGCGTGTACATATACATATTAATCGATATATCGTTGTGCGAAATATGCACCCGTGTTTCGCGATACTCACATCTTCATGGACAACTGTGTACTCGTGTCAATTATATGCTGACCCATGTAGCTAAACATAAGCAGATAAAATAATTGTCCGACGACGAAAGCTAACGATCTAATTGGCCGATCCGATAATCCGGAGAATTTAATTATCTAAACAACAATGTTTGGCTCCGCTGATTTGTCTTTTAACATCTCTTCTCGCAGCTTTTTTTTATCATTGCATGTTAATTTCGTTTAACGATTCTATTTATGCGCGCACACGGAAAAAATTATAGATTAATTAATTTAGTGTATAGAACACTCACTTGTACCAATGTCAGGCCTATCAGGATCATAAAGAACAAATATTCAGTGTAGAGGGTCAAACTATAGCTCGATTGAATAATGTCCACAAACCTTGATACAACAGTAAGAACGTTGGCGGATTAATAAAACGTGATCAAGTCTTACAATTAGTCTCGATAAGAAAAATTGGTACTTGCAGTATGTCATATATTTATTCGGCGTAGAACGTACCTGTGGAAGAGAAACGAAGAGGTCCCCGTTTTATCATTATCACTTTGTATTCATCTTACATGTACACATCAGCAAGTACGTACAATATTGTCAAAAGATTACTAACTGTATAACGCTGCGATGATCCTCGACAAAAAGAACAATGCTCCTGTAATCTTTTTCAGTTCCACGGATGGATCGTCTAGCCTTAGAATAACGTTCGCTAAATAACCGCTCTGCGCGGCACCTATATAAATAATGTGCATAAGAACAATACGATAAATTTTCGACATATAGCTCCATATGAAGGATTCAATGCAAAAAAAAAATGGGATAAATGTATATTTTATAAAATCTATCTTTTTTTAAATGCAACATATAATATTTAAAATAAACATGTAAGAACGGACATCAGTGGACTTATCTCATTCCTGGATTGAACCCTTCGCATCTGTGAGCACGCTTATTATCTCACTTTTCAGTATGTCTTTTAATTCGATTGATCGTCATGCTTTTCTATACAACGTTAACTATATATGTATGTATCTAATTATTTTGGTTTATGTTTTATGTATGCTAAGTTATTATTATATATTATTTGGTGCTATATATTTTCAGATATTTGATGAATATGTGATGAAATGATCGTACACGTACATTTACACGCAAGTAGTTATTTCTCATAATTAATTGGCGCCCAAAAGTTAAGCGCGATCACAAATTATATTAAATATTAAGCAATGTAAATATAAAAAATTTACGTTTTATGAACTAAAAATGTATAGAAGAAAGCGCAATACCCTAGTATGGTAAACATTCCACTGGCATGTTGCGTGTAAACAACGAATATGGTCCCGTTGGCAAGGATTATTCCCATTGCCAACAATAACATAAAATACATTTGAATTCGAATAAGATAAAAATATTTTTCTTCGTCGAGGAAAAAATCGACGTGAAACGGATGTTCGCGCGAGCGTGACTCGTTCAACGGTAGAAATACATCGAGAATCTGCGGGAGACTCGCGATAATGATATACACACTTGTACCTACGATTACATAAACTGAAAAATGTAAAATCAATTAAAATTAATTAATTAAATACCAGAAACAATCTAGAAACAATTATCTTTCGAATGAAATATCAAGAATGATAATAATATTAGAAATAAAATGTTAATCTCCCGTGTATATTATGATTCTTTTGCGTGCTTTACAATACTAAGACCACGATTTCACTTACACGAAAATAATGTCGTGATTATTTTTGCGCTCGCGGCATATTTTCGCATAATTTTAATCTCATCCTGAGACCTAGTGCGTTCCCAATCGGCTTTAATATGATCGAGTAAACTTCTCAACTAAAAAGTAAAAAGTTCATTCCGTTCGCAAGTCATATCGTAACAAAAAAAAAAAAAACGATATTATTATTTATTATATCACATTTTGGTCAGTTACACAGAAACATTCATATCAAATATTTCTTACTTTGTCAGTAATCATTATACGGTCAATAAATTGCAGTATTATACCAATACAAGAAATGATAACGGGCATACAGTCGAGTGTAAAATCCACAGTCATTTCTGACATATACATCTTAACTATCTAGAAAAACATCTATTTTCCATTACTTATTCTTTGAATCATAAAAAAAAGTTTATTGGGGAAAATAGAAAGATTAAATGTCTATCGAATATATATTTAAGCTATGAATGTAAAATATGAATATTGGATCAAGTGAATAAAATTTAATAAAAGTTTCGAAACGTCAACGAAAAAGACATTACAGATTTATATCAAGATACCTGACCGACTATACTCCAGATCATAAAAGAAGCTGTAAGCACTCGTTGGATCCAAGCGTTTATCGCATTCTGATATGGCCATAATCCGATAACGGACAACAGCAGGCGATTCAACTTGTAGTACCGGTCCAGAGAGAATTCCATCTACTTCGGGGGTCCGACGACGACTGAGAAATGTCTGGGACACGCGATAATCGTCTCCCTCTCTCTGTTACTATATTTCACGCCAGAAAATTCTCTTCCCTCAGCGCGAGGGGAAATAAGTATCGCAAATTGGCCTCTTATTTGCCGAACGCGTATTTACACTTTCCGTACGCAATTGTATTAAGTTACTAATAGCATCGATCCACCTCTTCGAATATTATATATTCATGAGAAAGACGCAGACGAGCACAAAAAATTGATGTAGCGCAATCTTTTTTTCCTCCGGAAATAAGAAAATTAATATAACGAATTTTCTACCTGACCTTTCGCTATTTTTCAGACTTTTCCCCACCTGAAAATTTCTCTCTATTTCTCGAATATTACGGCACAAGAATATTACTTTTACAGAAGGTAATGTGCGTGATATATGCCACATTGTGGAAGCAGCAGTATAAGACATATTTTACTTATTTATAACGAATTTTCTCTCTGACTTTTAAGAAAAGCTCTAGATAGTTATATTAAAGTACTTTTTTATATGTACACTCCAATTGTTTTATTACAATAATTTTTTACTATATGAAAGATCGTTATTACTGAATACCTAGAAAGAATATCTTTTGATGTATAATAGCGATGAAAATGTGCGAAAATTGTTGAATATTATTTACATGGGATGGGTATAAACGAATATCCCAGATATGCATCTTTTTATTAGTCAACTCAGCTCGTTCATAGTGTAAAGCTGATAAACAGCCTTACTAATGGTAGGTCCGAGCTGCCGTTTTTTGTCACCGACTTGAATGTTTGCTAATAATTGCTCATCTTTAGCAGAATTTTCCAAAGCTGTGATCAGAATCTGTGGCGAGGGATAACGTTCTACAATTGCTGTCGCTTTATCTATGGACATGCCTTTTAGTTGTAATAATTGGCGAATAAACATCTCGTTTACTTTAAATTTCTGAAAGAGAAATATATCGATAAAAAATCATAGAATTTTATTTATATAAATTATTTTCTAATATATAAAATTTCTAATAAATACTCTCTGTTTAGAAGACGCTTTATTGAATTCTTTGAATTCTATAAGACGTATTGTGCTATCCAAATCATTAGTCTGAAGAAGATGCTCTTTCTTACATCCAACTGTACAATATATATATATATATCTTATAATACAATTATATGCACAATGTCACTTACACACCTTGTAGATTTTAATTAGAGTCTTTGTCATATATGATAAATATGACATAGAATCTTTATGATTTCTTGTATATTTTACAGTAAAATCATCTTGTATTAGACAATTTACAGAAGCCTGTAACAATGACGGGAGCGGTATAGAAAATCGGGAACTCTTGTCGATACTCTCCACTATATACATGAGATTCTCAATACCAGATTGCTTCAATCGAAACTGAAATATGGAATTAAGAAATAGACAATTAAGTATACAGTAACAAGGATATAAAAAGGTAATTTCATCCCTAAATACCTTTTGTTCATGAAACCTCCCATCTGTAATGCTAGCACTTAAATCATCCATTCGTTTTCTCTCTATTATATAAGGTATAACCAATTCATCCTTTGTTTCTCTACATCTGGCAATCCATGTAAAATCGCCAACCTTCAAATGACGTACTTCAAACAATACACCAAGCTGTGTCAATTCCATAAGCGTAGCATCATGTTGAGGCTTTGTTTTTCCACTGAAATAAACCCCATATAGTTGAAAGCTTTTTATAGATAACGGCATAAGTTGACTACATTATAAATACTCACCCGCAAGTTTCTTGGGTGTCCACCAATAATATAATATCGAAAGTATTAGGTTCTAAATAAATTTGCCTATCACTTTCCTTTGATGCAATTTCATTTACATTTACTAATTTTTTCGATGCATTCTGTTTTGTGTTCTTAGCTTGTCTGACCACTCTTGCTGTTTTCTCCTGTATTTCAACAACCTTATCTACAGGTTGCTTCCTGGACGCAGTAATACAGTCCGCATTATCAATAGCTTTGGAAAAGCGAACGCCAGCTGCTTTAGCGGATTCGTGTCTTTTTTGCTCTTCCAATTTCTTGTCCAACATCGAGCATAATTTTGTGCCGAAATGTTGCAAAATTATACATTCTTTACCGGATTCCAATGGAAGCGGGTATCGCTTCAGCGAATCCAAAGCTTTCGTGAACTGATTGCACAGCTCGGAGTTTCGGAGCCTCGCATCGTTCCTCCATTCCTCCAACCAGATCTCGAACAGGCGATTCGGCCTGTCCGGCACGATCTTGATCCTCTTCATACCCCAATATGCAAATTGAACGAATCACGAATCTCATGTTTGTTTACCAATAATGACATCGAATTTTAAACCTCGAGAACGCAATCAATGTTCGGCTCAACATGTCGATTATGTTTATCGCACGTTCTTAAAACGTGAGATATATTATTTATGTGCACATGTGTCGTACATACATCATTATGCTGCGAATTCTTCTCTTTTATTTTTTGTATTTTTTTTGGAATAAAGTTACATTTTTCTTTGCACGTGCACATTCGATATATCGATATACATATATCGATATGCGTGAACATGCGCGATACGTTCGATACTCTGTGCTAGGTTATGACTTTCCTATCGTTTGTAAATAAATGGCGATATCTATATCCACGTGTATATTTAGATCCACGATTTAACTTGTATCCATAGCGTCAATTGAAAAAAGATGACGGATCCGGATCAGGAGGACAGCCGAGGCGGGTTACGCACTGATGGTAGACGGGCATTAGAATTGAGGCAGATCCGTATGCGAATGGGAGTGTTTGGTCAAGCTGACGGCAGTGCGTACATAGAGCATGGCAATACGAAAGTATTAGCCGCAGTATATGGTCCTCATCAGGTTCGAATTAATCTAAAATATCTATGATTGTATTTGAAGAAGTGCGTTAACTATTAAATATATGACATCTCAGTTAGGAGAAGTTATAAATACATGCACTTACAAATGTATGTTTTAGAAAAATTATATCAAAAGACAAGTAATTTTATTTTTAACATACTGTGTTTTCTCACTCTTATATTTTTTTTCTCTCCAATGTAAAACATGGATATAGTTCTTTAAAATATCGTTTTATATATATATCGTTATTTTATTTTTAACATACTGTGTTTTCTCACTCTTATATTTTTTTTCTCTCCAATGTAAAAACATGGATATAGTTATTTAAAATATCGTTTTATATATATATCGTTGTAAACTGCAGTGTAATTTCTATTATTTTTATTATATAATTTAGCCAAAAAGCAACGTATCAAGAAATAGTACAAAAGCTCTGATAAATTGCCAGTATAGTATGGCTGTATTTAGTTTTACCTCTGGAGAACGGAAGCGAAGACCCAGGGGGGATTGGAAGTCTCAAGAGAGATCGGCTCAGTTACGCCATGCGATGGAAGCCATAATACACTTAGAATTATATCCACGCTCTCAAATTGATGTCTTCGTAGAAGTTTTACAAGTCGATGGTAGTGATTATTGTGCATCTGTAAACGCATCAACTCTTGCGTTGATCGACGCTGGAATTCCAATTAAGGTTGATATCTAAAAAAATATGTTCGCCTTTTTACATACTTTATACGGAGAATGCAAACTTTATATAACTATTTGCAAAATAAACTTCTTGTTACAGAATTATGCTGTAGGCTGTACCGTATCTCTCATTAACAAATTGACAACAGAAGAAGAAGATAAAACATTAGCAACAGGAGTATTAGATGCAAACTTTGTAGAGGAATGTTCACCAGGAGTTACCTTGTCTATTGTCGCATTACCAGAAACAAATAACGAAGTTGAAGTAGATGGGAGTGGTTTGATAGTAGTAGCACATGGAGCAGGGCAGAGATTACATTTATCACGTTTGGAAGCGCTCAAACAACGCGCAGTACAAGGGTGCCAGGATATAAAGGAGATATTGGACAATGGTGTGAGGCATCATCTGACTGCGAATTTATTGCCGTCTTTTCTACATAATTCACTCGAGTAGCAGGAAAGGAGCAATATACTTCACACAGTGCTGTAACATTTTACAATTTAATATCTCTATTGTATATAAACACAATTTATTACAAAATTATTTTCTTATAAAATCTGCAACAATACCAGATGATTATTTATATATCTCCTCGAGTAGAAAAATATTTTCTCTTTTCCGTTTTTTATTTTTATATATCAATTCCATTTTTCTAAAAACTAGGTCAAACTGTAGCACCAGGATATCTTTCCATAATCATACCAACTCCCTATAAAATAAAATATTAACAAATATAAAAAATAAAAAGAATGTATAATATATGAAAATTATTAGATATTAAAAATTATATATTTCATATTGGGCATAAACTTTGATCTACCTGTCCACCAGCAGCACAGGCCGCGATAAGTCCGAATTGTTGATCCTCTTTGATAAGTCGATTAGCAGTATGTGTCGCTAATCTTACTCCCGTAGCAGCAAACGGATGACCGATTGACAAGGATCCACCCCAAGCGTTCCACTTACTCAGATCTGGTATTCCGACTTTTGAGTTCCTATTCAAATATTTTTGTGCGAACAAATCCGAATCTAACGCTTTTAAATTAGCACAGATTTGTCCGGCAAACGCTTCATGTATTTCCCATACTCCTACATCTTTTATGCTTAATTTTGCTTTATCCAGGATCTGTGTAATTTGTTAACAATTTTTATTTTATATGTCATGAATTATTTTATATATATAGTCTTGTATATATACATATATATATTTATTATATATATTTTAGTTATTTATTAAAATGGCAAATTAATATTGATAAGAATTGTGAATACCTTTGGTATTGCATATGATGGTCCCAGAAGCAACTGATCGACTGGATCTTGGGATACGTAAGTGAAGTTTCGCAGGTATGCCTTGGGCTTCAAACCAAGTTGAAGAGCCTTGTCCTCTCTCATCATTAATGCCGCGGATGCACCATCGGTCAAGAAAGACGCGTTGGCCGCAGTGACAGTTCCGTAAGGTTTAACGAATGCAGGTTTTAGTTTTGCCAACTGTTCTTCTGTAGACACGCGAATACCATTGTCTTTGTCGACAACTTCGTTAACGTTCGGTACTGCAGAAAAATTAAGTATGAGATGAAAATAAGTATATATATATATATATATATAATATTGAAAGAATTAAGGCCTGCTCGCACTAATGTTATTGTGGCTTTAAGCGAGATTTAAAACTTTTGGCTTTCGGCTTTACGCTTTAGACTATAAATTAATCAACAATTAAATTATAGCCAAATAACGTTAGTTATTGCCAAAAGATTTAAATCTCGCTTAAAGCCAAAATAACATTGGTGTAACCAGGCCTAAATGAAAAAAACGTTAATATACCTTTATAAGGCACTACATCCGACAAAAGTCCTTGCTGTTGAGCGCGCGCGGCTAAAGTATGAGAGCGCAATGCGTAATCGTCTTGTTCTTTGCGTGTCACACCGAAAGCCGCAGCTAAACGATCCCCACTGTGTCCCATGGTTTCACCAGTTGAAAACTCTGCCACAGCTGGTAGCTATATAGAAATAAATTGTTGTAAAAAAAGCATTCATAAGACGAGAAAAGTTCCATTATTTTATAATAAGAGTATTATACTCTTATAAAATGCATAGAACATTTATATTTCGCGTTATTTTCTTGAAGAAAAAATCATGCCTACTTACATCTGGTACGAAATAGGCTGGTCTGATACTGGCCAAAAGAGCTAATTTGTTTCCTAAAGTTTTTGCCTTGTTTGCTTGCAGCATCAATGATCTCATGCGTCGACTGTGTCGGATCGGAATATCTGACATGAATTCGACTCCACCTGCTACAATTGCATCATAAACACCGCAAGCGATTAAACCCATGCCAGTAGTGATAGCCTGGTTACTGCTAATGCACGCCATCGTTACTGTATGTGCAGGAGTATGTTCGCTGTATCCTGCAGCTATAGCAGCTTCTCTTCCAATATTGGAAGTTCGTACTTCTTGCAATACTGTGCCATACACAATGTAATCAACTATTTCTTTAGGGAACCCGATCTTCTGTTGTAAGCCCCTAAAATAGTGAATAATAAATTCTATTATTCTTACAGTTAGAATAAACATTATCAATAAAAAAAAATAAAACACAGGTATAAATTATCTCTTGTGAAGACAATATTTCTTATAATTTATTTATACATTATTGAATTGATTTTAACTTACACTAGTGAATGTCTTGCAAGATCATATGCCAGAAGATTCTTGTAGTGAGTTCCAGATTGTAAAAATGGAGTCCGCACTCCGTCGATGAATACAATATTTTTTGGAGCATTGTCGCTTTTTGTAGAATAAGTCTTGTTTATGAAAATTCCAGAATAACGGGTAACAGCTTCTGCTAAAAACATCAGATACAATTAGAAATATTAAAGCAATAATATGATGAGTCAGGTAATGTTAATAGTAAATATTACACTAATTCAAACATATATTAATTTAAATTTGTCAGATCTATTGTAAATGTTGTATGATTACATGATATAATGTGTTGCAGAAATGCATGATAAAAATAAATATCGCATAATTGTATGCTGCAAGGGAAAAATAATTACTTAGTATGATTATAAAAATATAATTCATAATATCCACTCTCTCATGTATATGTGAACTTTGTACTAATCGCATAATCTGCATTTCTCTACTTAATTAATTATATTTAATAAATTCATAAAATATAAAATGACTTTCCATACCATAATTAATTCCTTGTTTTGCCAACGCGCAATTTTTCAGGAGAGAAAGCATTTTGTATAAGTATCGTAATGACACTTCTTTCTTTCACAATCAAATTTGATATATCAGTCTCTGTCACTGTCACTGGTCACCTAACATTTTCCGGAGAAAATAGCCGAGTCGTAGTATTGGACTTTGACCTTTAATATATATATATATATAATATGTGTACTATTCTCTTTAATATATATTAAAATATTTGGTGTAAACTAGGCCATTGGCTACCGCGTCACCTCTTGCCACGCGTAACGTTGACGCGTCCTGTGTGCAGGAGCCCTTAGTCAAATTTTATTGGCCATCGAATAGGAACTGATTTGACTATCCTTCTCGAATTTATAAACTTTATGGTTATAACTAATCATATTTCAGGGAATGTTTCTTCTCCTTTTCGCTTATATTCATGGCAATAATACGAAGCGAGAAAGAAAAATAAACTGACTGAATGTTTATTATAATTAACCTGAGTTAACTAATATCTAAGAGCAGTCGACATTGGTGACAACATCGTCTAAAGCGAAGTATATTCATTTAATAATTACGTGATTATAAAATGTATATATATCCTGTTAGGATCGCGGGATGTAATATATTTCGCGCTTTTAATTATTTCTTAATAATTGCTGATTGAACCATTGCAAAGAGTACGTACATAGAGGTCGAGAAATGTTCAATTTGCAGAAACAATGACATGTTTAATAGAATTGTATAAAAAGGAATGTTACGAAAATCGCTTTAATTATATACACTATTAAAGATAAAAACTAAGAGCCTGGTATAAAAACAGTCCAAAGTAGATTGAAACATTGAATCATCTAGATTATGCGATTATAATTTTTCTAATTTTTACAGTACGATGCTAAATCAACACCATCCTCTCTTGAGCACTATAGATTCCTATATAGAACCACTTTTGAAGCGTGTTTTGCAAACCAAAAGACTTGGTAAGTTAATTTTTATTATGTCTTAATTTTATTCAATAATTAAGTCTAGTTTTTTCATCGTGATTGTATATTATGTGTTCTCAAGGAGTATGTTGTGGTCTGATAAAATTGGGTTCAGCATCATCAAGTTGTAATAAAAGCAAAAATGATTGCTTCAAGTTATCAATCCCCTATGCTGGAGAGCATCTTATCTGGAATGTATTATTTGATTCACAATATCCTGAGATGGGCCCAGACTTTATATTCAACGATCAAAATTTTTTAGCAGACCCAGATATTGATATCTTGTCTACTAGGGTACCTAGTCTTGCTAAATGGAATCTTAATGATACTGATGCACTACTCAATGTGCTAAACGAATTATTATTGTATTACAAAGAATATCAGGTAAGCACAATAATTGCCATTATATAGCTTTTATTGATCTACGAGATTATTATATATGAATCTTCAAGATACCAAAAAAATTCATTATATATTCTTTAGATCTTATAAGAAATTGATATTTGATACCAGAACTAATTTTTTTTTTTTTATTTTCAGCTACATTTACTTGCAAAGCAAGATCGTTTGCAATTTGAATACAGCACACTTGTTGGTGAAACAGAGATATTTACAAAAGATATAGAAGTGATGATGTTACCATTAGGAACAAAGCCTACAGAAGCAAAATTTTTAATTCGCATAGTTATGGATTATTCTCAATTACCTCCGCGTATTAACAAATCACAAAATGATGAAGCTATGCTCATTGTCACATTTTGTGGGCCAGATTGGAATCGTATTTTACCGCAACTTTATCTGTCTAAGACCTTAGAAGATATTTTTGGTGGACCTGAATCTTTGCATATTCCACCATTTCCACCTAACAAATATCTTATGGATTATGTTCCTGAAGTGAAGAAGTTTATACAAGAGAAGGTACAAAACTTTATATTTATATATTGTAAAAGATAACATAATTTACGAAAAAATATTTATGTCTTTTATTGTAGATACACAATGTAGTTCAAAGTTTTGAAAGCAGGAGAAACTTTATTACAGTTCTAATTGTATCACAGCGTGGTAGTATACTGGAATATGATGCTATAGAATTTAATTGGATTAGCATGCTGATGGAGTATCGAGACTTTCATTTTCTTATACATTTTCATCTCCCATCAACATTTCCAAAAGAGAAGCCACAAGTTACATTGCAATCAGTATATCACATGACATCGCAAGGTACTTTGTACAAAGAAGTGTTAGATGATACACCATACAGTCCTAGATGGCAGATACTATCGATGGTTGATAAATTGTTGACATATATATTGGAAAATGCAGTTAAAAGGTTTCAGGCAAATTCCGTGAAAAATCGTTTTCAATAATTTATTCTGAAAATATATTTTATTATACAGAATGTATATATTAATAGAGTTGATATTGTGAAATAAAACTAATTAATTTCAACACGATAAACAAAGATACAATTTTGCATGTTTCTTATTATTTGTTTTTAATTAGATCTGCATATTTCCGATATATCTTTTTTTTCTTAGTTTGTTAACCAGAGTACAACTAAGTGCTACAAGTATAATCTAATTTTCCGTTGTATGTGTTGTGAATATATAAACGATATATATTCCAAGTATTTTATTAGCCGAATAAAATCGAAAGTTAAGTAGCGTCATTAACATCTTCCACTTCTAAAGATTTTCGAGTCAAATATTAATTTTATCCGGTCTAAATATCAGTTCATTACGATTTTTAATCAAGAGATAAGCTGTAAAACTATTTTTCTTGATTACTTTAATATTATAAAACACAAGTTTCTTTTTTTTTTTATAAGAAACACATTTTGCAGATATAAATCGCATACGATTTCATTGCGAACAAGATTTCGCAATGAAATCAGATCTTTCTCAGGACTCGTGCACATGCGACAAGTCACCTCGTATGCGCAAGACCACTCACTCCACGGTCTATAGCTATAGCCTATAGTCGTGCGCGACTTTAGCCCCGTGTTAGGGCCTCAGCTCCTCAGCATAATAAAAGGAATAAGGAACAGGGAATAGAGAATAGAGAACAGAGAACAACCGCAGTGGAAGGAATGCGTACACAAGTGTTGTGCGCGCATTCCCTCTAATGCGGTTGTTCTCTGTTCTCTATTCCCTGTTCCTTATTCCTTTTATTGTGCTGAGGCCCGTACTGTGATAGTACTTAATATTCCGTCACTCCGTCCTTCGTCTTCTGTGACTTCCGTCTTCCGTCCCATAGTGGACGCGAAAATCCTATAAAACAGAGTACAATATCCTCGGAAGGAAACGTCGGTTAGATTAGGTTCCTTCAATGAAAAAATTTATGAAAACCAAAAGAAACTGCCAAAAACATTAATATTTATATCTTCGTTACATGAGGAATCTTTGAAGACAGGTTGGGTGCCGCGTGAGGATTCCTGTTTTCACCAAAAAAAAAATACGGTCGGAGATAAAAATCTCGAATATGGTGGATCGTTAACCTAGCGCGGATTCTCGCAGATATACGAACACAAGCAACACACGTGCGAGTTAAGGAAAGGATTACTTATTTCAGAATTTTCGGTAACAAGGCTCAAGCTCGATAACCGACGTTTCCTTCCGAGGATACTGCACTCTGTTTTATAGGATTTCCTTTTGCCGCGCGGCAAGCGTTTCCGCGTCCTGTGTTTGGGTATTTAATTAGTGTGAGAGAGAACGAAAGAGTAGAAAAAAAAGAGTAGTGAGAGAGAAATTTAGATGGCGTTACTGGCCAACTTACTTATTTCGCGCATGCGCACTCCGTTTTGGCCAACACAAAATCGGGAGAGTTGCGCTACTGTATATACTGTGACAGTACCACAGTACATTACATTAGCGTAACCATAGACATAGTATATCTAGACCGAGCGTTTGCCTTTATTTAAGGAGTGCGGGTAAAGATACACGTAGGCCGGTATTCATAGTCCGTTCTTATATTCAAGATCGTCTTAAGTACGATCTTAAGATACTATGCGGCCATTTCATTGGTTGAATGGGATCTTAAGACGACCCAAGACCACACTTAAGACGATCTTGGATATAAGAAAGGACTATGAATACCGGCCATAGTCCGTTCTTATATCCAAGATCGTCTTAAGTGTGGTCTTGGGTCGTCTTAAGATCCCATTCAACCAATGAAATGGCCGCATAGTATCTTAAGATCGTACTTAAGACGATCTTGAATATAAGAACGGACTATGAATACCGGCCTTAAGATCCCATTCAACCAATGAAATGGCCGCATAGTATCTTAAGATCGTACTTAAGACGATCTTGAATATAAGAACGGACTATGAATACCGGCCTTAAGATCCCATTCAACCAATGAAATGGCCGCATAGTATCTTAAGATCGTACTTAAGACGATCTTGAATATAAGAACGGACTATGAATACCGGCCTATGAGCGTAACTCTGTGTCTGCAGCGGTATGTTTAAAGTTGGTGAAGCCAAGAGCCAATCCGTTCACAGCATTCACTGCAAGAATCCACGTCGGAACCAATCGTCCGCTTTTCTATCCGGAAACCGATTAGCCATATGCCATAAGTTTGTTCGCGTTGCTTGAACTTTTTGCACTCAGTATCTTCGCTTTCACTTTCTTCAACATTGGAATATATATTCATCTCGTTTTCAGTGCAGAACTTTTTGGGAATTTCAAGCAACGCGAACAAACCTCATATACGGTACGTTCAGAAACAGCACCCGAGCATCGTTCTATCTTTGTTCAACTTTTAGTAAATAACAAAGATAGAACGACACTCGTGTGCACACGGGTGATGTTTCCGAACGCAGCCATAGCCATCGAGTGGGGGAAGCATGTTATTCCCTATCGTAATTCTCCATAGATCCTTTCCTCATGTCCGGAATGCGTTTGGCAACACTGCATACGTGCGCAGCGCGAAGAGCGTGCGCAAAACAGGCTCGTCTCAAAAGTGTCCGGCCGCCGTCACCTGTCTCACGAGTCTTGAGGTAAGTGCCTATCACGTAAGTGCCGCTTTATTGAGAAAAAGTCTACGGGATCGCGGCGTAAGCGCGGCCACGGTAACGTGTCGCGCGAAATTGTCGCCAAGCGCAAGAGTGTCACATGCCGATACGAGCCGCGCGACTGGCAAATATGTTCGGCGACTACCGACCTGTCGCATCGCGATTTCCCGCGACCGCGTCGCCGTCGTCATCGCTGGATCGCACGACGACGACGTCGACGTCGATGTCGCGCGCGGCTCCCTTTCTGTCAAGGAAAAATTCGTCGCGAGCGCGATTTTCCGTCTTGTCTCTTATGGTTATGGCGCGGGTTTCTCTCGTGGATTCGCGCGAACAGCTTTATAGATTTTTACGCACGGCGTCGTCGCCCTCGTGGCTACTCGAACGTACATGCGTCTCGTACGCGGACGCGCGCGCGATTTTTCATACTTGTAACATACAAATTATGCGTTATGTGTACGGTTGTGTCATATGTACCGCGCGTAAGCGTCGCAGGTATCATCTGTCATGGCGCATGCCGCCGCCGTTGTCATACGGTTGGTTCGAGCCACGGTAATCTCAGGTTTGTTCGCGTTTCTACCGTGTTTTCTATTTTTCTACAAATTTCCTGTGCTCTCACCTTCGAAATTTTGGAAAGAAATGACGCTCAATAGTTGTATATATTTATTTCATTTGCTATTTAATGGATAGTGCAATACTTATAGTGCAGCTAAAAAGAACAGACTTCTCATCTCGTCTGAATTGTCAACCGTAATTTTACCTAACCTAACCACTAACTCTAACCTACCTACCTATTTATCTCTAGCTACACGGACGGTTTAAAATTAACAGTTAAGAATTTAAGTTTAAAATGTTAAAGTTTTTATTTTAACAATTCGCTGTTTGAGATTTATTTTTTTTTTTTATTTACGCGTATAAATTTCTATTGCTAACATATGTTTTCCGAGGAATTTTATTATTATTGCAGTTTATCTTTAATTTACGTTCGTCGAGCAGTCTGTATTTAAAAATAATCTAATCTCCCTCTATTCACGAGTTTAACTTAAAAAAACCCTAATCTAAGATGAACGATTCGAAAGAATCGCGCGATGATTAATATTTGCGCGATAAAGACGATGTTCATGTATTCTGTCAGTTTAACATATTGTTGATTATGAGTATGTAGATGGTGAGGGAGGGGGGCACCATGATGGCGTCTGCCACGCGCCATGTCGCGGCCACGCTCGTACACGTCCTTTCGCGCGACCCCCTTCGACTCCCTTTCCTTGTCGTGCATCGTCAACTGCGTGCAATGAGGGGAAAGCGCATTAACATTTTTCTCAAATGCGCACGCGCAATCGCAACACATTGAACATTAATTTCTTTTCAAAACAGAACTAATCTTTATCGGTTATTGAAGAAATTAATTTTAAAGAATTGGTGTATATAAGAGACACAGTGTGAGAGAGAAAGATGTATCAATTTTGGTAGGAAACATCAATTAAAAACACAGCATATGTATCGTTAATTTTATTAGAGATATTAAAAATTATATATTTCCAGATTTATCTTAATTTTTAATCAAGATAACATGATTCGGTATACATGACTTGTTATAGATTCTTATTGTTTGTTTATCTATAATAACTTTAATAAGCATCGGAATACATCAGAACGCGAAGAAAAATGTTTGTTTTATAATTCAATTGACGATGAGATTACTTTTTTATAGACATCTATTCCTTTTGGAACAGATACAGTATCACTCTTTCTCCTTTCTATTTTCTTTTCTAATTTTTCGAATTTCGAAAATGCCGTATAATTATTGATATTTTACGAAAACCGATAAAAGCAAGCGAGGGAGAGAAAGAAGAAATGAAATGCGCAATGTAGAAAACAGCGATGCCGTGTCGACAAAACATGGATGAGCTAAGAATAGCACAAAGCACAAAACAGAGTGCAACGTGCGGATTATTATGTGAGGCGCGGCACGTTCTCAAAATAACGCTATTTTTTTCTTTTTTTCTTTTTTTATACGCCTATCCATATTTTCTTCTAACAAAATTTCTCGTGTAATGAAAGCTATGAACTCGGAAATTCGCAAGACTCACAAAATCATGTTCAAAATGTTAATAATATAGAAATAATTATAAACAAATATAAAATAAACTGTAGTTTTAAAAAATTAATATATAATTAAAATATGTATAATTATAATTGTAAAGTTTTAATAAATTAATATATAATTCTAAAAATTAAAGATATACATAATTATATATAACATTAAATACATAAAAATATAGATCTCGCGAGAAATGAAAATAAAGATTCGCACGCACATAAATAAATAATTAATTGGTAGCTATCAATTAATAATTTTATACCACATAGTGTCTTATCTTACAATGAGATACATGCAATCGTATGTTGCACCGCTATCAACAGTGGCCTTCGAAAGATCGGTCAACCTCGATTAACGATCGAAAATATATTAGCACAGTTCGCGGTAAACAAAGCTCCCAAATATCGCGCATTTTTTCATTTCTAAATCGGATTAAATTAGATGATAAAATCAAAAGAATCTGTATAAAAATAATATATCTATATAAAAATAATATTATTTGTACGGACAGTCGGCTATCCTTTTCAACGGTGATGGTTTACATATTTTGGAGCCTGGAAAATAATTTTGAGAGAAAAAACTAGAAATATTATATATCAAGAACGATATGTATTCGTACATTTTTATAAACTTTGGATATTCTTGACATCCTGAAATCCTGAAATCCTGAAATTTTTTAGATCTGACATCGGAGGAAAAAATATAAGTAGAGAACAAGATCTCAAGGAATCCTTTACGCGTTCCAGATTTAAAACAATAACGATGGAAGCGAATCTTCCATTTGCGGGTGTACTTGTCGGTACTCTAACCTTGTCATTCGAAAGTGTTTCGTTAGCGAACGATGGATACGTGAACGAGTGCACGTGTGCATATAGTCGAGAGCGATTCCGAAGGAGAACGAGTTTGTTGAGCGTGTATATCTACATCTCTCTCGATCTCGCTGTCGGCCAATCGAAATTAAGAATTCGGTCACACCCTCCGCTCGGCCTCTTTGCCTATTGGCTGATCGTTTGATCGTGACGTCGCTGACCCGCTTTTAAAATTCGGTAAACAAGATCTTGTGAGAGCTCGGTAAACTGCTTGGCGATAATACATGCACGATAAACGAATGAAAATGTTCAAATTACTTTGTATAAATTGTTAAATTCGGTTAACAGACATTTCTGCGTGTCACACAGCTTTCGATCACTCATACTTTTTTTTTTAGACGATGATATCGAAAGTGTTTTAGTTTGGAAGGGATAGAAAAGTGATAGCCGACGAAACGTCATCAATAAATGTGAATTTTCGAATGAAACATTTATGAAATTAATATTAATTAATATTAATTGAATCTAAGAGAATGAGATTACATTAGATAAATCGATATTTACGAGTACGCGAGCAGGTAAAACTGTTTTGTCCTTTCAGATCGATGGTCAAACTTCACGCTGTGGAAACTGCGCAAAGTAAAGTTTAACAGATAAGATAACTTTGTTCTGTCAAATTGAAGGAACTTTAAGTCATGACTTGCACAGAATAAAGTTTGGCTCGTACGAAATGATAAGCGACAGGATAGAAAGAAGAGAGAATGAAGAGAACAAGAGAGAATTTGAGTGAAGTTTAACCGAGATATTACTAATAATGTGGAATCGGTCGAGGGGAAGTCGAGACCCTCCCAAGGCAAGACTCTTAGCCGCGAGGGGAAGGTAATGCGCAAAATACAGCGCTTACAATTATATAGTCAAAGACTACAAAGTGAGAAAGATAGCGAACGGTAGAGGGGAGAGTTTGCGCAAATATGACGGACGGAGAGGGAACGAAAGATGCGCATGCGCGCACCGCTTGGTGACGCTACCCGGTGCGCCGCGCATAGCATAGCCACGCTTATTGCACGTCGTATGAGCGTCAACGATTGCCAAGAGTATCAATATCGTTGTAAACAAGTGCCTGTTTATCTAAAAATATTATTGATTATATATTAAATACAAGTCTCCCCGATTATTACCATCTTAAATAAGCTGGAAAGAAGAGGCGAGTGTTAAAAAAGTGGATAAATGCTGCTTTATTAAAGCAGCAAGAGACAACAGATTTTCTCTTCCATTTTGGAAGAACAAGTGGCTGAGTGGAGAATCGGCGTTATTTCTAAAAACAAATTTGATTTTCGTTTTTGATATTAACGAGCGTTAATTCTAACAAAAAAAAAAAAAAAAAAAAAAAATCGTAAAATATTAAAAACGTGAAGAAGTGTGCTGCTTACATCTCAAGGGGACATATATCTCCATTTTGACAGAATAAGTGGTCGGATTAAAACGGCGTCATTTTTATACTTGGCAAAAGAGCCCTCCATATTTAACAAAAGTTCTGACATTATAATTAATATTAATTTTGAACAATTAAAAGAACAATTAAAGAAGTGAAGAGAAGTGTGTCACGGTGGCTCGAAAGAAACAGATATACTTATTTTGGAGTAAGGAGAACACGTGACCGTGTCCGGCGTCACTTTTGATATATTTGGGCAACGTATTTTCCGTCGACATTGTGACAGTGTTACTTCCATCAATTTCGAGGAGTTCAAATCTCGACTTTTTTGCGTTTCTTCGACGAAACATGAAGCTAATTGTAAACGCGCTCAATGAAATTAGTGATTATCAAGATAATTTTTACACAGACTTAATGTTATTTTCGTATTTATTACTACGACCATATTTTTTGGGCAATTCTACATTTTCGTTGCTTCGTGAACTTCAGGCATGTCTAACTTCAAATATCAATCTTAATTTAACATATTGTGCAATTAAACATTTATTTTCGTACTATGTAAAATTTGCACAAGGTCTACTTATAAATTATTTTATATTTACGAGAAACTTGGATTTTTATAAAATTTTGCATAAATTGCTTAAATTTTAATATTTTTTTCACGCATATATCTCTTATCAATTAAGTTTTTGTTATTATACAAATGAGAATATCTTTGATGTACATATATACCATATGAAATCTACACAAGACAGTATACTCTTAAAAATTATTTTATATTCAAATCAAATCTTAATTTCCATTATTATTCTGCGTATGTATATTTTTATTTCTAACAATTTTCTATTTTGATATATTTTTATTTTTGGAATATTTATATTGCGTGAACAAAATTTAAGCAACAAATTGCTTTTTTATAAATAATACATATTTTAACTTTTAATATGATAAAGTTAGTAAAAAAAAGCTTATGTTGAAATAAAATTTAATTGTTTACGTTATTCTAAATGTAATATATTTATATGTATATTGTTTAAATTACAGAAACGATAGTGATTCATATAACGGACAGGATGTTCAGTTTTCACAAACCAAAGGTGTACCGATCTAGTACAGGCTGCTGCATTTGTAAAGCCAAATCTAGCAGGTAAAGAAACTTTGCTAAAGTCATATCTGTGTGTGTGTATATGTTTATATCTGTATATTAAATGATAATGATAGCAAACTTGTAATAAATTGCTGTTTAATTATATGTACATTAAATACTAATATTTATTTTAGTATATTATTACATTAATGTTGTTCAGAAAATGTTATATAATTTATAATATAGGTATTATTTATTCAGAGTTAGTATCATGATATATATTTTATAAATTCTTATAAATTCTGTTACAGTTCGAGATTTACAGACAGTAAAAAGTATGAGGACGACTTTATGCCATGTTTTCAACTTGAGGAGAGGCGTAGTGGTGAAATATGTAATGCATGTGTGCTTCTAGTTAAAAGATTCAAGAAGCTACCTCCAGGAAGTAATCGTAACTGGAAACATGTTAGTATCTCTCTTCTCCTTATATTCAATATTTTGACAAATCATTTTGCTTTCAATATTAATATTAAATTAAATTCAAAATTACATGTGAATATATCATTTTTCAATAAATATATTACACTAATTAATCAAAATATCAAAAACATTTTTGATAACACTTAACAATAAGAAAGGATGCACACATAATCTGCATTAATTTTTTTAAAATTATGTTGCATGCTAATGTTATACATGTTTTATTGCTGTAAAAAAATATTTAAAAAGATTAAAGTTATTTCTAAAATTGAAAACATAACCCTGTAATTTTAAAATCACTTTTAATAAAAAAGAAAATTTATTTGTACAGGTTGTGGATGCGCGTGCCGGTCCCGGTATTAAGTCGTTGACAAAATTCAAAGCAAAAAATAAAAGGAAGCTTAAAGATAAACCTGACAAGCTTGTCAAAAAGAAACACATTTTCATAAAAACGGAGGCAGATCGAGAACAAAGCCCGGCGATGAGCGACGATTTGACCGGTTAGTTACAAAATTTTAATTAGGAACTTGATTTTGTTTATATATA